AGTGTCTACAGCTTGAGAAGATTGCAGCTAAAGTTGAGCTGCTTTATTATTTTGGTTGCATTTTTAAATAATTGTTTTATATTTGGCTGTGTCAAATGGGAGTGGGGGTATACATACTGATTAAGGACAGCTCTTGTGAGTAATGGTAATAATAAGGAAAATTAATAAGACAATATTAACTCTACATTTGGTATCAAGGTTAAAACACTTGGTAACTGGAATGGCTGGAAATTGTCTTGCGTAGAAGATTTTTTTTCAACTAAATATAATAGTTTTATGAGATCAAGAAAGATGCATCTTCCTGTTCTTTATGGAGATGAGGTTTTTTTGCAATGTTTTGGATAAGAAAGTCCATTTTGTAAATAGGAAAGTGCCTACATTAGGACAACAGTTGTCTCCAAGTATGCTCCTAAAAACCCCACAGAAACTACATGGTTGCAAACCACAGGCCTTATATAGTGTGACGTTACGAGATGTTGCAGCTGTCAACTATTGGGGGCACACCAGAATTGTGACATCTTGTATTGCCATTTAAAAGGTTTTTTTATAACATACTGTTAACGGGTGATACAAGTTTTGTCATACATGTGTTGTTATTAGTAGTAATCAGTATCTAGGTAAAACTAGTAGGAGACTCTGCAATAGGGTAAAAGACCACCTATATAATATAAACTCTAGCAGGAACACTAGTGTGGCCAGACATTGGAGACATATTATTATTATAATACAGGATTTATATAGTGCCAATAGTTTGTGCACCGCTTACATGTATATAATTTGAGGACTAATTTCCTTATGGTAGAAACCATTTAAAAAATTGATAAACCAGTGAGAGGAGGGGATGAAATGGCTTTGCTGAATCGTAGAGAGGTTTACTGGATATTCATCTTGCGAAGAGTACAGGGATTAAATTTCGAGTGGCATATGTCACATTAATATGAATGAAACGTGTCCTTTTTTATGCTTTTTATTTTTATGTCCTTTCCCCATTCCTCCCCGCTTTCCCCCCCTCCCACACCCTTCCCATCCCACGCCCTTCCCTCTCCCATCCTTTCTTCCCTCTCCCATCCTTTCTTCCCGTTCTTCTCTTTCCCCCTTGTTCGTTCTTTATTTCAACTAAAATATATTATGAACTATGTATGATAAATTATAAACGTGGAATTTTTTTTATAGCTATATAGCTTCTGCTATATTCTGCTACGATGTGGTTTGTTCTATGTAGTAAAGGAAATCATTATGTGATAGTATGTATTAAATAAATGTTTTTTTAATGGGGGTGGGGACTATGAACGTTATATGTTATAAGATTGGGAATTTACTAATAGGTTGTAGAGTGATTTGCTCATCTGTGTTCATTAGTGTGTGTACACATATGTCCTTCTCCCCACAACCTCTTGCCTTACGATTCAGCTCCGCTGGGAGGCAAAACAAGTTAGAGAGTGTCTAACAGTTTGGTGCTTGGAAAACAATTTTAACTTCAAGGAAGTGGTGTGTGGCTTTGTCACAAACTATTGCACTCTACTTTCTATAATTGGGTGATTTATTTACTTTCTATAATTGGGTGATTTATTTTACTGCTATCAGGACAATCCAGAAATTATCTTTACATTTTGAGAAGCTTACAGCTGAAATTGTGCTGCCTTCTTTTTTTTGGATGGGGTTTGAAATGATGGTTTTATATTTGCTTGTCTCAAATGGGGATGCGGGAGTTAGTGTGAATACCAATCCAGGGCAGCTTTTGTGAACAATAGCAATAATAAGGAAAATAAATGAGACATCATTACCATTACATTTGCCATCAAGGTTTAAATATTTGGTAACTAAAATTGCCGAATTGCTGGAAAGATTAGAGATCAAGTCTGATGGCATCTTTCCCCCAAGATTTATCTTTTTATTTATTGGTATAAGTTTTACTGAGAGAATTAGACAAAAACTGTAAATGGCCTGTCTCTTCAGTGACCTATATATTACCCTTCACCTCCCTTATCCTGCACACTCTATGACCTGTACATTAACCCCTTCACCCCTTGACCTATATGAGCTGCATCTATTGCACAATTACCAAGCTCCATGTTTTAACCCCCTTAATACCAGCATGTCTCTATATTTCCAAAACATCGTGCCAAAAAATTAGATCGCCTTTGGAGTGCTTACTCTCTAAAAAAGTGGTCCTTTTAGGGCTGTTCACAGTGTCCTGGCATGTAGTGGAAGCATGGTTTTAGGTTGGTCTTTTTTAACCCCTTCATGACCAGTGATTGGCATCGGAGCCATTTAAACATACTCCCGCCGGGACTCTGTTTACACTTGTAAATCGGTCGGCTTTACAGTCGAAGCGATTCTGGTGGCTCAGCTGCCGCCAGATCGGTTCTACGGGCCGGTTAACGGGCCCCCCCGCCCGACACCCTTGCTGTGATTCCTGGGCTCCGCTGCCCCTCCTATGGGCTCTGGACCGGCTTCTCTGGTGTAGGGGGGAAGCTGAGGAGGAGATCAGCGAACCTCCATTCACCGATGATCTCCCCATACTATAGGACCGGGAGTGATGCAGATTACATCGCTTTCAGTTCCATAGCTGTCAGTGCTGGGTTCCTGAAGCCCAGCAATAAGCTATTGAAGTGTGTTACCCACTTCAATAGCTAATTTCAAGTGTAAAGGTGATACTAGGGGTCTTTTGGACCCCCAGTTTTACCTTAAAGAGGACCTGTCACTACTAATCTGCTATCATATGGGGTCTTGTAAGCCCCCCTATGTGATAGCAACTAAAGGAAGGTTTTTTAAAAATGTGAATTTTGACGCAGTTTCACGGATGCACGCAATTTTTAACCTGGGCACGTTGGGTATCTGTGTACTTGTTGTAACCTCTTCGTTTATATTATTTTTAAAAATGGGTATTTTACTGTGTTTTGGGTCATTTAAGTGCATTTTTCACGAACGTTTGGGGTTTGATAAGGAGTTGCGCTAATATTGTGCAACTCCCACCATTTTATTCTATCGGGTCTTGGCTTTCAGAAAATATATGCTTGGGGGTTTTAAGTAATTTGCAGGCCTAAAATGTGGATCATAACATGTAAACAAAAAAAAAGGCCTCTGTCGATAAATATATATATCGATTTGTCTGTCAAAGTATCACAGCATTAAAATGGCCAGTATGGAAGGAATATTTCAGGCTGGCAATTACATGGTTAAGAGAGTTTTGTACATGTCCATTTAATTTCCCTTGCAGAAGCATAAAAATAAAAGCTCAGCACATTTCTATGGTGGCAAGTAATATCAAGGAGCAGCGCAGTAATGTACTTCTTTCTGCTTCTATCATTTTAAAGATTGTCTGACCTAGAAGGCATTTCCAGTTGCTCTTGGTTTTCTTTGGCAAAAAGCATTACAGTGTAATTGTATGTGAACTGCTGCAGGAATTAGTATCAAGTGTCATGGACAGCACAACTGTTCTCAAGAAACTGGATACTGCATTTGTTAATTTACTCCTGTTAGATAACTCTCTTATGACATTTGTGACTAGTTTTATAAAGTAAAAGCAAAACGCATCTTTTCCCTGTATTTTTATATGGGTTGCCAAAAGAGGAATACAAGTTCAGCTCATGTGTCTGTTCAGATATGAATCAAGTATAATCAGTGCATTACTGAAGCAAAAACATTTCACAGAGATCATGCACCATGGAAGGTACCTAAACCAGGGCTACACTAAGATAGTATTGGCCTACGGTGACTGTCATCTTAATATTGTACATTTTATTAGCTCAGGAGAAATATACATTTTGAATTTGATTTTAAAAATGCTTAACGTTAAGGCAGTGAAATATTAAAAGGAATGTTTAGTCATTTCATTGTTTTTATGTATATTCAGTGTTAGTTGATATTAAGTACATAGTAAAAGTACAAATGCGAAATTTTAAGTAATGGGATAGAAGACATTATTGTATAGTGTGTCAATGTGGTACATAATGAGAAATAAACAGTTTCAAGGTATTGAATGGTCAGACACATCAGTATGTCATTAAAACATAAGAATATTTAACTGTTTTAGCTATATATCTAATAAAGACATTAGCTTGAAGTAAATAATATAGTGTAACCCTTTGTTAATGTTGACTGGGGCAGGCAACATTGGCACTCCAGCTGTGGTGGGGCTGCGGGTTCCATCGTACCTCTGGGGGTCATTTGTGTGGCTGTCAGGGTCTTGCAATGTATTACTTGACTAGTCCGATCTTGCCTACCAAAAAAAACGCTTTGTTAATGTTTTTAACCTTCAATGCATAGTCTGTAATTTTAGTCTGTGATTTTTTTTTTTTCCACCTAATCGATTGGTTGTATTTAGACCCCCCTCTCTCTCTTTCTCTCTCTCTCTCATCAATCAATGAGAATAGTTGCCAACTATTATCATAATCGATTTATTATCAATTTAATCAATATAGTTGTTGCAGCCCTACAATGCAGCTACCATGTGACTAATATCTTATCTCAACATTTGTTAAGCAGAGAGATTGAGTCAGGAAGAGTCAAATAAAATGTATTGGCTAAAATGCAAATTTCTAAATTTATTACAATTAAACAATATATTAAATTGCAAGCATTTTTAAAAATCTGAAACTCCCATGGAAAAAAATGTTCCAAGGTTAAACAATACAATTATAGCTCAAAACAGATCGCTTAAAATACAAAGGACTGCAGCGCTGAACACTGAAAAATGGCCTGGCCAGGAAGGGGGTCTAAACACCTGGTCTAAAAGCGGTTAAGGATTGTCCTTTTTGTGTACTCTTACATATTATATAAGTTTCTAGCAAACAAGTAATTCAAAGAAAAATGTTATGTTTAATAAGTTACTTGATATCCTTGGCACATGCATTGCTGGCTCCATTTCAATGGTGCTTTGGTTAGCTCGATGGACTGACCGATAAAGCCCTCTTTTAATGACAATGGCCACAACCATGTGTACTCGTTTGTATTCTTCATTCACTGTATAATTTGTATTTCTGTTCATTCTCTTTTAGCCATATTGGGACTGATTCTCCATCAGATCAAGAAGAAGTAATTGTAGTGCTAAATCATTTCAACAGTAAAATTATTAAAGTTCATGTGAGTATCTAGTTTTGATTTATTCTTGAACTGCCAGTATTGGTGATTATAGGTTGATACAGTCATCTGTTATACTTCCAATCACATTTTTTTTGTTTAAGATGATAACCTAAGTGATTTATACTTACAGAATGTTCTTTTTGTTCAATCTATGTTGCTCAAAGTTTTTAGGCAGTCAGATAATCTGATACAAAACGTACCTTTTTACAATTCAGACACATAGTATATCGTCTGAAAAATTACTATGACACAGAGTAAGAATAGAGGGTGGGGTAGAGAGGATGGTTAGGAAGGGGGACGGGGGGTTAGACATTGGTAGATGTGTACATCTTTGTGCAACTATAGTGCATTATTGTGTAAAAGAGAAAAAAAAATCACTGCGATCGCAGAGTTGGGACCAGAACGGTTCCATGTATGTAGTGTTCTATTGATGTTCAAAGCTCATATTTAGGTTTTCAAAATTAGAACTTCTATGTATATTGAAGAAGTGTCAAATGTGTCTCATGTTTGCCATGCCTGTTCAAATTTAGAGGAAGAGGCTCTCGGGGTGTGTAAGGTCTTTTATTTTGTAAAACCAATCATTAATCCATAGGCTTGTAGTAGTGTTACAAAGATATTAGGACTTTGGTTGCATATAGTAGGTGTGGTATAGTATGTCTGCTTGTATTGTTTGGCGGATACTTCTGAGCAATGAAATAATGTAGGTAGACACACAGATCAATTAGCAGTGAGGAACCTGTTATGATGAAGATATACCTCAAAGCAGTTAGCTAGAAATGTTGCATCAGCACTATAGGCTAAGCTGTGCCAATATCCAGCATATACATTCCTACTACGGTATAGCCTGGTAAAAATGTTGCAGTGAAATCAGTTTCTATATCACTGCATTCTTTTTGCCTGTGCTTTTAGAAGTATTAAAGAATAGAGCATGTGTTGATGCATAGCTAATATCAGAGTTAGCTTTAACCTGTTGGTGGCAGTATTTGTAATGTCAACATCAACTCTTCATGAAGTTTTGCACTATAGGCTAAGCTGTGCCAATATCCAGCATATACATTCCTACTACGGTATAGCCTGGTAAAAATGTTGCAGTGAAATCAGTTTCTATATCACTGCATTCTTTTTGCCTGTGCTTTTAGAAGTATTAAAGAAAAAGAATAGAGGCTCTTCGTTATATAGCCAAAGATTATTTTACAGAGCGAGGCCATATTGTATTTACTCGGGATATAGTGCAAGGATCAATCTGTTCTGGGTTATAGATAGCAGCTTTAAGAAATCCTTTACTAGGGGCTGTTGTTATGGTCCTCTTGCTTAAATATGTTAAGTTCCGTGTCTAGAACAGGTATGCTAATAGTACTTTTCTTTGACTTTTTTCTGACTTTTTGGAGAAGTTATTCAAAATAAGTAGCTTGCTATTAACGTTTTGGAGACTATTGCAAGCTTTAATATAAAAAAAACACTGGCCTGCTAGGTGAATAATAAATAAAGTAATTATTTTGGTGAATTAAAATGGAACTCCAGACAAATAGCTAATATACACAGTGCCTGAAGACATTTTAGACTGTTTGCATTGTACAATACAATAACGCTTAATTGGGTCACCATATATAAAATCCACTATTAGTCTGAATTCTCCTGTGCTATAGAGTGTGGGTAGATTAATATAAAATAGACTATACAATAGATTTCAGACAAGTACAGTTGCAGAAAGTGAATTGATTGTTTAAAAATAGAGTATATTCTAAATAGAGGAGGGCATTTCCTGTTTTCATTTCATGGGTACAGGGGAATACTTGCACACACTCTAAGTTCTTAGTGTTTTACTTCCCATACTTTGTCTCTTCTTCTCTGAGTTAAACTCTACTCATGTGTTGCCCTTTCTGTACCTCTTACTCCCATAATCAGAATTCCTTTTCACCGTGGTCTCTTCTACTACAGCATTCTTCTCCTTCCTATCTGCTCTTCTTGAGTTCTGTGCTACCCTGTTCTGTGCCATTTCTTCCCAAGTGAATTTCCACCACTGTGTTCCTCTATGTATATCTCCGATCCATCAGCAGCTTGGTTCTCTCTGCCTTATTGTCACTTCTCTTCTTTCCTGTGTTTGCTTATTTTCTCTAATTTTGTAATTGGTTCCCTTTTCAGCATCCTCAGCTTTTTCCCCTAAAATCTTTGGTGTCTTCCTGTTCTGTATGTTCCATTATTTCTCTTAAATGAACCATGTTGCCATCTTCTGTGCCCAATCTGTTTCTTCTTGCAGATGTTTTCTCAAGTGTCACTTTTTTTGTCCTCTGCGCCTGCCTCAGTTTATAGTGTCTTCAGTCCATCACTTATCTATGTATCTGTTTTGTCTCCTCTTTCACCCAGGAGACTTAAAAGTGCCAGGCCTCCTGAAGCCGACCATTAATACATTAGGTCATTGCAAACACAGCCACATACATAAAGTGTGGCTGATCTGTTCTCTACTGCCTTCTCAATCATCAATCCCTTTAACTTATTGGTGTTAGAAGCTGCACTTTACTACTTCACTCCCATTATCCACAATCCAGTCAGATTGACGCACTTTAGTGCGCTCTGCATCACAAATGCCTACCTCTCCTCTGCTATTCATCTCATTTGTCCCACTCTGCTCTAATCCTTGTTACATACCATAAGGCATCTGTGCTTCTCTAAACTTCAGGCACTTATCCTACCCAACTTCCTTCTCCTTCCTCATTCCTTCAAACGTTAAGTTTACATTAAAATGCCTCCTGTCCACCTTCAATTCATTCTATCTACCCAATTTCATCATACATGTCCCTGCTTTCTATTTCAATGCACGCTCTGCCCTTTGGTCCACCATAATCTCACATCAATCCCCTAAACAATTATCCCATACACCTAAGATAAACCCTTTAACGTCAGCACTTCATTCCCTGGTCCACCATAAACCTCCACCTTTCCACTATCACATGATCATAATCACCATACATTTTGAACACCTCTACCATCAGACCTTGTTTCCTACCCTTGAAGGGAGTGTGCATTCTATAAGAATGCAGGATTGTTTTTGACAAACTGTATATGAGTGGAGTTGTCCACCCTTGTTTCAGTCCAAACTTGTCTTTAAAAGATTGAACCATGTGTTACAAAATGCAGTAAATTACAACCAGTTTGCCTGAGATTGTATTGAGAATGAAAAAATGAGAGGTGGGCAAATGTTAATTGTTTTTGACTGGATGATGGCATGTATGTAATATTGAAACGTGTATTTGTTTCTGTTTTATCTTTTATGACATATCAAATAAAAAAGAACAGTTGAAAAATATTCATAAATATGATTTTAATCTAAATTCAGAATAAACCAGCACCACATAGCAAGTAAACGCATAAAGAAAATTTAATAATAACGTTCTAGGCAAAATAATGTGCATGGAAAGCTTAAAGCAAACCTGCATTTAAAGCAACAGGTTTGCTTTAACCTTGCCATTCCCAGCTGCATATACTTGCCTTGCATGCATGCCCCCTCCTGGGCTATACAACATTTGGAACCTCTAAGAAATACCCAGTATATACAGATATGGAGGAGCATGTCACTTACCCATATGACAGCATTCGACCAATTAGTGATGTCACGGGGGTCTACAGACCTGTGTGAGCCATCATTTGGACAACTTGTTTTTCACACATTTTTTTTTCACTGCCAGTGGCTGAGAAGCAAATAAAACATAAATATAAATTTAAGCATCTGTAGAGGTCTTCAGTGAAGTGAACCTGTTGCTTTGTCCTGCACAGGCAAAGCGTAGCCACTTAAAGGTAGGCAATTGTTGCACAATTAACAAGACCTAAAGCTGCCCTAAATAGTTATGGGTCAATATAGAAACCTGTTCATGAGCAGGCACTTATTTGCTTTATAGTGTTATTAGCCATTTGGGGAAGCGAACAAATTCTTATTTGCAAATATTACCCTTTCTTCTCTGTTTATACCTGAAATAAAAGCCAGGTTGAGCATGTAATTTGGTAGTTAATGAATGCAGTTCTTTTTTCTTCTATTGTAATGAGAGAAATCATAAGGCACTTACAAGAAGTTATTATTATTATCATCATTATTATTATTATTATCACCACAGGTATTTATATAGCGCTGACAATTTACGCAGCGCTTTACATAGTTGCACATTCACATCAATCCCTATCCTCAAGGAGCTTACAATCTAAGGTCTCTATATCCTATGCATACATACAGGGTCAATTTTTTAGACAGGAGCCAATCAACCTTCCAGCATGTCTTTGGCGTGTGGGAGGAAACCGGAGTACCCGGAGGAAACCCATGCAAACACAGGGAGAACTTGCAAACTGACTAGTTGCTACTATTGTTGAAATACATTTAGCTGCACTGTATGTTTGGAACATCAGTCCCTTATCGTAAAACCTAAGAATTCTAACAACAAGAATAGCTAAGAAATGTTTGGAACTTTTTAATGCCAACAGATGACCTAAGAATCTCATTTAAAAAAAAAGACAGAAAAACAGTAAAATACTTTTAAATGGGAAGTACAATCTGTTGTTATAATTTTCAATGCAGGTGCAGAAGAAGCCTGACCAGATACATGCAGATCTACTGAGCAGCGAGTCTGAAGAGAAGACAGGCCTATGGAATTCAATAATGAGGTATTCCTATTCCTTATTGCTTTTACTAATTAAATAATTTCTAGTTACTGTAGAACGTGCCCTTACTAAAATGTTATCCAGGCTTATTCAGTAAAGACAAGAGCAGAGTAATAGCCAGTAAGAATTAATTTCAGTCTATTGACTTCATTAATCTAAAATCTCATTGCGGTGGATTAAAGCACTTTGCACTTTAGATGTTTGGACTGCTTTTACGAACAACCACAAGTGTCCTATGCCATTGAAACACACAGTATTCATCTAGATACTATCCGCAGATTTAAAGCGAGCCTTTACCTCCTTTGACTAAAAATCACATCAGCATACAGCTCTGCATGCTGATATGAAATCATCTTAACAAACATATTTTGCTTACAATTTCTTTTTTTCCCCCACTTCCTGGTCCACTTTGCCACATATGATTTAATCATGCCCAAACATTGCATCCTAGGAAGGTTACATCAGCAGAGCAGTGCTGGGAAATCTCATCTGTAATCTCATGAGATCTTGGGGAAAGGCATTTTCCTCCCCTGAGAGGATGTGCATGGTCACATGCCCTAGTCACATGTGCCAGAGTTCCAGGAAGTAAAGGAAGATCTAGTAACCAGGCTTTAGTTACTTTGGCCACTGTCACAAGACAGGGGAGGAAAAGAAAAATAAGGAATGCAAAAAATAAACCTGCATATATCTAGAAGTATATATCTAGAAGTCATTACTAAACATTTCTAAAGCTGGCTTTGTTGTTATATTGAAGATAAAGTTCCCCTTTAAAATAACCATGGACACAAGTTATAACTTATGATTCCATGCGTGCATTTTATCCCAACTTCAAACAGTGAATACACTAGCTGAGGAGGTGTGTTCATTGGCTCTTACTGGCATTTTATAGCCCAACTGAACTTTCAGTGTAAATCAGCTAAATACATTTCAGGTACATCAAAACAAAAGCATTGACAGCCTGAGTATTAAAGCCTGTCCCTGGCAACAGCTGCAGAGTGGGACCCTAGCTCTCTATGGGGAGACAGTGGTCTTGTTGCAGAGGTCCAACACATGTTCTGAAATTAGCAAAGCTCATGCTCACCGCTGGTTGGACATCTCTGGCTCTGCTTCTGCAAGAGCCTACTCTGCAGCACGCTGGACATATGCTTTTCTACTCAGATTTTTCTGATTTTAAAGAAAACCTGTAAGACTTTGCATACTTTTTGTTTTGATGTACATTGAGTGTATTTAGCTCATTTAGTTTGAGCGTTCATAAGAACTTTAAAGGAATTCTCAAGTTGATGAGAAACTCTCCAAGGCTTTGGGGGTGCTGCTAAAACTCATAATGGAGTGATAATAAGGGCTGATTCTTTCATTTAGTAAAAAGAACATAGCAAGGCAAACATAAGTTACTTTGGAACAGAAAACTATGAACAATACTTTGTAAGGCTACAGGTATGTCTTTTTTATTTTTACTTTTGCCCATTTAATGGCTGACTTAAACATTAGCTGTCTATAACCTGGTGTATCCCATAGTTAGGTAAACACTGGTCAAGGGCTATCCCTTCCATAAAACAAATTAAGAATCCTATCTGGCATTGGGTCTTACCATACATAACTGTTCACTGCTGGTTTCACAAGTGCATATACAGTGGAGCAAAAAAAAAGTTTCATGTCTGTAAAGGTTTCATTTATCTATGTTTATGATATAACTAATAGTAGTTTGTTACATTACCTAATGCTAGGTTTAAATGCTGGGGTATGTTACCAACATTAGTTTGGTAACATACCCCAGCTGAGACACTCAACTGAGGAAGCTACTCAGATGGGTGTTATATATAATCAAATCAGAGACCACCTGGTGTTCACGGCTGGAATCAGTCAGCAGCCTGCTAGTCCTTGCAGACTTTCAAAATTCTCACAGCCATGAAAGAGAAAGTGCAGTGTTTTGTGGAGAACATCGCTATGTTTAGAATTTATAGGATATTTTCTGGTAATGTGAAATCTTTTATGTGTAATGCAATCTTCTTCATATTTGTAATCGTATATAAAAACTTTCCTGAGTTGTGTTACTTTTACTTTTTTGCATCATTCCTATTCTCATAAAATAGGATACCATTGAAAGGCTATAAATCAGATGATTGCACATAAAATAGAACATTAAATGCAGCATAACATTTTAATTAGATTTGGTGGTTACTTCCATTGTGCATCCAATGTAATTAAATATATCCACATATAAAGCTGCTAATGGACCATAGTAACAAGATTTTGATTATTATTTCCCTTTCATTACTTCAAGATATATGTTGTTTGGGAATGTTTAAGAGTGATTTCTACTTTGATAGGGTATTGTAAATCTTCTAATTAAATGCATTAAATGCTGTAACTGGTATTATGCATACTATTGCCTTAATAAAGCCTGCCATTTACATGTTATATCTGAATGTTTTAATAGATAATTAGGGAATTAGAAAATATGCATTACAAACTACTCAATGGTGGCTTTTACTTATGGCCACTTTTTAGTTTTTTTAGGCAGGATGTGTTTTAGCTCTTAAATGGATTTATTTGCGTAAACCCACTTTTATTTAGAAGACAGCAGTGCTCCAAACATTATGTGCCCCTGAAGCATAAATAATGTTCAAATGTCAGAGGAGAGGGACAGCTGATAAGAGTAGTTGTTGCTACAGTGGCGTGATGGCTTGTGTGTCATGTGTGCTGAAAAGAAGATGTCAAACAGCTTTTACACTAGGTACAAGCTTTGTGAATCTCTCATAGTTGTATACGTCAGGGACCCTGCTCAAAGACTGAGGACACTGGAATAGTGGATAGTGCTTACATTCAGTGTAGGTCACACAAGTACAGAACTAGAAGGATATGATCACTGGAGGAGGGGTAGTCAGTCTGTGTATCACCTTCTGTGGAACTGGGAAGTCTCAGCATATGTGCTGGTGATGCAAGATGAGAACGTTCCCAGGCCTGGGATAGGGCTTTGTAAGGGAAAGCAGAGACTCGGGGAGCAAACTTGGGTGTCTGTTCATGGGACTCTGTGTTTGGTAGCATGGACTGTCAAAAGCTATTGGTGGTTCAGTGGTCAAGCAGTTACTAAAGGCAGAATGCCAACAAAAGCCCATAACTAAATGTGGTGAGAAGGGGAGCGAAAGTCATTCTTCTCTCTCATTTTGCAGTCCAAAGCTGACTTCTACATCCCAAGCTATAGTGTATGTTGTCACTGCTTTGTCTGTTGGATTACATCATTTGGCTGTAGGTTCTCTGTAGCAAGCTGGCAATAATATCTCACCCCTAAACTACAGTATTGTGGGGAATGTATTGCTTTTGCTATAAAATTTTACCATTCTGGTGGTGCAGTAGTAAAACTCAAACTGCAATCCACACATCTATTCCCACACCAGATGCAGGGCCATAATTTTGGTTTGATGCTAAACTGAAGAGCATACATTTTTAATGCCTCAGCTATTTAAAATTTTGGATATCATTGCGTTCCACTATTTTGCACCTGTACTGAATGGTGAAGATAGATATACAATGGTACCTCGGTTCACAAACTTAATTTGTTGCACGAGTCTGGTCGCGAACTGAATTGGTCGCTTACCGAATCAAACTGTGATCAGACCGCGATCTCGACTAGACATTTTCTGCAGAAGACGTGTATTTAAACCTCTGTTTTTAACCTTAGCGGTGAGACAGGTTTTTTTGCATGCTGGCTTGTAAGTGTGCTGGGAAAACGTTTTGCTGTTTTGTACTGTATTAGGCCCTTCCATGTGCACCTTGCTGTAAAGCTGGTAACAAATTGATGAGTGTGTTTGCCATTTGTTTTGCTCGACTAGAGGAAGCCACGACCATGTGTCAGAGCAGGGAAGATAGCTGCGGTTGTGTTCGTCACCCGATGCAGAGTTCGTGAACTGAAGCAAAATTTTGCTGAACTTCCTGTTCACAAACCGAATTGTTCACGAACAGAAGCGTTTGTGAACCGAGCTACCACTGTATGTGGTATGACCTCCGATCATTGCTTCCTGTCACTATCTCTCTCTGACAGGCCAAAGCAGTTTTTTGACCCAGCTACCAGCACATCACCACTGTCACACTTCTTTTATCTGTCAGAATGAGGTAGTTATAGGCAGAAAAAGAAGTAGCAGCAGTGTAACCATAAATTTACAGTGGACCATCAATCTGTAGCATCTGGACACAAAGTGGTGTCCAGAACTCCATGAAATATCTCTGTAGCTTTCAGCAAAAGTATAGCAGATTGAAATAAATGTCACAAAATGGCTGATTTTCTCATATTCTTTACTCAGTGATAGCAAAAATGTAAGTAAAAAATAAATAAAACTGATAACCTTAGTGTCTCATCCTGGTGCACACAACCAGTTTTGCCTCATACGTGAGGCTTAATTTTTGGTAGACTAATTGTAGCTGATGTTTAGCTGTCCTGCAGTATTACATATCACTGCTCTGAAATATTATTACATGTATTTAGTGAAGTTTTCTGTGCCATGTTTAGATAAAGCATTTTCCACAGGTGCTTTTAGGCATGTAGTTGCATTTCACAGTGATTGAATTTTACTTTATTGGAAAAAAAAATTCTGCCTAGTTTGGTCTCTCTGGCAACATGATTTTTGTTCTTTTATGTACTCTTTGGGGCCAAAATGATAATTACTTTACCTTTAAAGCTAACATGCTTAAAAAAAAGCATTCATCATTTCATTCTGCTGAGAGAATCTGTGTTTTTACAAGCCTATATTAAAGATGTTTGCTAGATGTGTACACTAAGTTTAGTTAAAGTTTAGTTAAAGTTTTCGTCTTTCTGAAGTGCATTTACAACAATTCATATGTTTCTTGTTTCAGCTAATATAGATCGGATATCTTAAGATCTTCATTTTGCTTTTCTCCTCCGGTCCATGGATGGGACATTATCTGCCATAATGTTGAATGATGGCATCTTTAGAGATTGAGCTTAGCCCATTTATCTTTATGGCAGATAATGTCCCATCCATGGACATGAGGAGAGAAGCACAATGAAGATCTTAAGATATCTCAGATCTTTGATACAGCAAGGAAAGAAAAGCAAAGGAGATTGGGCAATGGCAGACTATGGGGACCTGTGATACAGTGTAGCTGAGATGAGGAGGCTAAAAAAGGTGGTATGCTGCACTTCCACATTTATCATTCTTTAAATCTAAAAAAAAGAAGCATTTGGGTGGACAAAATTGATTTAGTTGCATTGATCTTTTTACATTTTGTGGAATTTTAAGACCAATTGCCCTCATTCCAATTTCCATTTTATTGCCTTTTGTAGAGCGCAGCAGCTGCAAAACGAATTAAAGGTTTTTATTTATGTAATACAATCTAAAACTGTTTTTCAGGATGTAAAGTGTCAGTCTTCAGTGGCAGCTGACATGATAAAATACCAACTTGTCATAACTGTAGTTTCTGAACTGGCCCTTTGTTGTTAGACATTACTATGTCTGCTTTAGACTAATGGCACTAGTCAGGATCACCACAGAGTTCGCCATTCACTTAGTTAAGGAGTTCAAGGAGTTCAGATGGCTAAGTTTGAATTGTGCCCAAGGATGAGAAAATAGTAAGGCCGTGTACACGTGGGTTTCAAAATGAAGCACCAAATGTTTAAGCATCACTAAGTCCTAAAACAAACAATTTATATTTGCTTCAGCATGCCATTTAACATATCTAACCTTGTATGTTTACAGGTATATTTCTATTTGCATTTAGTCCTCATAAATTCCTTTGAATAGATGCTGAGAAACACATTCACATACATTTCCTGCTTGCCTATGTCCACATTTAATTCTGCTTTCTCAATATCTCCCATTGTAGTCACATGAGCAGAAACACTGGGCTCTGAAACTAGTACATGATTTTTTTTTCACTACTCCCTCACAACTCCACCCCTCATCTTAATGCCCTGCCCATGTTCCTGCCTACCTCTCTACATTGCCAGCCTCTCCTCTAGCTTGGAGCCCAGCTGCATGTGACGTGGTGCAAAGCATTGCGGGAGATGACCCTGAGGCACAAAAAAAAGCAGAAGCTGCTATTCAGACAAGGCAGGCATATGCAGTGTTTTTAAAAGTATAATAACAAGGCCTTTTTATTTATTTCACAATGTTTGTTTTGAATACCTAATGTGGTGCTGGTGCCATTAGATCCCCTTTTAATACCTGCCAAGTGTTCCCTGAATCTTAGCACTGCAATTTGTGGAATGGCTCAATTCATGTAAGCACTCAGCAGACTGTTGCATTATAAAGTAGGCAAGCTGCATTATCTGTTGCCCTTGACAATTCAGCCTCTGTTCTCTCTAACACTTCCCCTGAGTTAATTGTACAAAATGGAAACTCGACAGAATGATGCACTCTGTATTCCCACTTGTGTGGATTATCTTAATAGCTCTAATGGATGGAAAAGAATGGGGAGTCCTAACAACTTCAGTTGATGGATGAAGCCACCAGTGAAGGCATTGAGTTCAGTAAGCAGCCAGTGGCTCATGCCAGTTTCTCGCAAACACTGAATTTATAGTACACTTGAACTCAGGCTTTGATGGCACACCATGTTCTCTTCATTTAATAAAACAAGAAGATGTAAGTGATGTATGCATTCATACATTTTAAATATACATCACTGATAAATCAACTTCGACCCAATCAATCGACTGACCGCATTTAATTATGCTGATAAGGGGGAACCTTCATAGATTCACAACATCTTATGCTGCAGAGAGAGAATATGGGTCAAGCCAAGAAAAGTCAAGAATGCTCTGTTCCAAGGCAACAGATAACAAGACAAATTGGTCCCTGGTGTGCAGTTCTCTCATTATTCTACTATTTACTTAACAGCATACATGTTACAGTGTAGTTGATTTGCTGGTGTTCACAAGCAACATAAAATGAGGCAAAAATCCCAGAATTTCAGAAAGGAATCTTCTGGAGTACGACTATGATGGAGTCTACTACTATTCCATTGTGTATATTTTTTAGGCACATTAAATTATTAGGAACAATATATTGTTTCAGAAAGAATAATGCACCCACATCCAAATACAGCTTGATTTAAATCCATGTTTTATGATTAATCCATAGACCATGCTTTAATGGCCATGATCCATGAAACATTCTTCCATTACATATGTGAAAACCGCACAGAATCTTTGGGAAAAAAGAACTTTATATAGTAGAACTAAACTCTCCTAAAATAATACTTGTTTTGTAGAGTACTGTAAGTAAACCAAGCATATTATTTATAAAATAACGTTTGTTTTCCTCTTAGGGCCCATGTTGAGAAGCTTCTTAGTTCCCTCAGAATTCAATGACCGGTGCATTTGACATGCAGTTGACATCCTTTTGACCTGCTTCAAGTAGGTTTTGCATTGGGAATGCAAACCCTGCTTTAAGTGATCAAAAGTCTGTCAATACAAGCCCTTTTTCTGTTCATGTTGTCTCTTGTGTGCTGTGTACATCCTGTAGACTTTTTATGTTTTTTTTGTTGTTGTTTTTTTTTACTGTGGACATCATAGAGGAAGTGCCTGTGAATGGTCTTGCTGGTAGGATCAGAATGAGTGATTTAATTAAAACCCCAAAATCTAAAAAAAGATGAATTAACCACTTGAAGACCGGGGTGGGGTGTTAAACCCCCCTTCCTGTCCAGGCCATTTTTCAGTATTCAGCGCTGGGGTGCTTTGACTGACATTTATTCAGTCGTGCAATGCTGTACTGAAATTAAATGTATATTATTTTTTGGGGACAGATAGAGCTTTCTTTTGGTGGTATTTAATCACCACTGTTTTTTTATTTAAAGAAAAAATTACCAAAAATTTTTCCTACATTATGTTATGAAACATTTATTATTACCCAATTTATTGGTAAAATATAAAAGATGGGGTCATGCCGGGTAAATAGACACCAAACATGTGAAGCCTTAAAATTGCGTGCAAAATCCTACCATACCCAAAATTGGCCATAGGTGACGCTTTAAAAGCTTTTACTGCTCATCAATTTCTGTTAACGGATAACCAATTACTGTTAACTGAATGTTATGCCCAGAATTATTGCTCGCACTCTGATGTTCGCTACAATATGTAACGTGCAGCGCAACTGTCATTTTTGCTTATAGGCGCACCCAACGCATGTTTGTATGAGTGTGCATGTGGGGACGGAGGACTTTAAAAAAAAAAAGTGTGTTCTTTTTGTTTTGTTATTTGTGATTTTTTTTTTCTGTACACTTAAATTTATTGCTATCACATAGGGGGTAAGAAGCCTCCTACGTGATAGCAAAGAGGATGTGACAGGTCCTCTTTATGGAGTAATATTTATTGTCACCTAGGGACCCCCAAAGAAGATGATGAAGCGGAGATCTGCTTCACCAACTTCTCTCTGGCTACAGAAGCCAGAGAAATGACAGCTGAAGGCGGAAATGATGTAATACACACTGCTGCCGCATTCAGAGAGGGAGATGGTGTGCTGATGGTGAGCACTTTTGCAGTAAAGTTACACTCACAGGTCTTGTCCCTCCCCATTCTGTGACTGGATAGTGAAGGAGAAGCAGCAGACAGATGAGCTCATCTCTCTGTCACTTTCATCGCTCCTCCTGTTAGCATTCTTCTTGTTAGCATATGAGTATTGGAACACAACTGATGGCACCTTGTGCTACTTCTCCTAGTCTATGTTTTGTTGTAAAGGGGCTACAAGAGGCTGCTACCAGGTCAAATTCAGGTACTTGCATAAAAATACATTTAATACATACAGACTTGTAAGTAGTTTGGGTCCTTTATACCTGCCTGGAGCTACTTTAATTGCTTGTGTTTAGATACAGGTACAAATACACCCAGACGCCAGTACCTATTATTATCCTAAGTCTAGTATTTGCTGTTGCTTTACATAGTAAATAATAACATAGTAAATAATGCAGAACTTTTGTAGTTTCAACACAGTCTCGACATATGTCACAGGAGCATATTTCGTGGATCACAGCATGTGGTTTTATGTCCTAGAGTTATCTACAAAGCTGTGAGAAGCAAGACTTGATAAGAGTCAAATGTGTAAATTATCTGCTTCAGATTCTGTTATAAAATATCACAAATGCAAGTTTCCATTTTTTCCCATATCTTGGTAATTTACAGAAACATTATATTATTTTTCATCCTAAATATTCTTTACCTAAACATGTTTCTTGTTCAGCTTTACAGGGGCAGTGAATACAGAAGTAAAAGACAAGAAATCAGATATACTGAATATCTTCTCGGTTGCATCAGGACATCTGTATGAGCGCTTTCTCAGGTGAGGATAAAGTGCTCTGTCATCATTTGCAAGTTTGTTGTACATGTAAAAAAACAAGTGTATGTTTACTAAACAAAGACCTACATAATAATTACAATTCACTTACATTTAGGCAGAGCTCTATTCTAATTCATCAAGTGGTGTTTGATGAAGCATTGACTTCTAGTCTGCCACTTGAAAGTCTGGTATAAACCAATTCTAGATATCTGCTCCTATCATACATTCCCTCATCACATGAGTATGATTCCCTCTAATTTTGTTTTGAGTCCTTGGAGGTTAAACAATGTGTATTAATATGTTGATTTCATATTTAGACCCAATGTAAACATCTAGTACCATGTGGTTGGTACAGCAAGGCAGGGGCAGTGAGGCAAGCATGGCAGATTAATTTTGACCTGTTACATGGGCCTGTTAGCGTTTTGTTGTGTTGCCCACCCATCTGTTGGACTGCTTTTGGACAACCTATGAACTAAGAATCTGATCCTGTGTCCTGTAACGTACAATTGGGAAAATAGGATTTTTGTCTTACTTGTAAAATCCTTTTAGTTGATTACATGACAGGACACAGGTCCCTCCCCTCTGTTCTTATGATTCTCTCCTTATTGCTTGCTACAAAACTGAGGCTTGCTGGGAGTGGAATGGGTTGTTAGGACTGTCTTTACAGTGTCTAATCATCCAAAGGTCGCTGCATGATCTAAGAGTCTGATCCTGTGTCTTGTAATGAACTGCAAGTAAATGATGTTACAGGTAACATTTGTAGTTCTTGCCATAGTAAATTATGAAAGAAAATATTTAGAAAACCATTATACATTCCTATCAGGAGCTAGGTTCCAACAATAGTCTGTGATATATAATTTTACTCCATTCATTTACACTTACTGACCACTGTATTTGTGCACTCATCTAGTTGGATTCAATAAGCTATTAAAATGTTTCTTACAGATTTTGGTCCATGTTGCCTTTTTAGCATAATGATCACATATTTATGCTGTAAACTTACTTTTCTAACCAATTCCAAAGGATTAATGCTGTGCATACCATAAGTCTTCTCTCTACCATCAGAACAGTGCAAAGCAATCCTGATCAGGCAAGTTTTTTCCAGTTGTCTCTTTTAGATTACCTTGTGCTGCGGCAGCCACTTTACTGGTTCTTAACAGAGTCATGATCTTTGTGACGGACTCCCTGGTACCCTGACTGGATATCTCCGTCCTAAGCCTGTTCCCAGGGTACTGGAACCAGAAGCCAGTGACTATGGCATGGGAGGCTTACTTCAAGAATCGGACAATACTGACTTTGGAGTGAAACAAGAACTTCTTTATTGAGGAAGAGCGCACAGAATTTATATCTCACAGGATCAGATAAGCATTCATTGTTACATTGAACAGTCCCCTCCCCCAGACAGCTATGTACCGCATTGGATTGTCTTAATTAGAGAGGAGCTTAATCCCATTACTGTAACAATGGTCACTCCAGACAGCCTGCTGCCTTTTAGAAGAATGGTTCACATTAAGGCAAATGGTGACCGGCTCTCCACAGATAAAATATTAAACTGTAAAACACACAGCACACAAAGTTCTCCGGGGCAATGAATCTCTGCAGTCTTATGTGGGGCTGCATTTCTGCCAATGGAGTTGGAGATTTGGTCAGGATCAATGGTGTCCTCCAATGCTGAGAAATACAAGCAGATCCTTATCCATCATGCCATACCATCAGGGAGGGGTGTGATTGGCACCAAATTTATTCTGCAGCGGGACAATGACCCTAAAAATACAGCCAATGTTATTAAGAACTATCATCTGTGTAAAGAAGAACAAGGAGTCCTGGAGTCCAGTGATGGTTTGGCCCCACAGAGCCCTGATCTCAACATCATCGAGTCTGTCTGGGATTACATCAAGAGACAGAAGGATTTGAGACAGTTTACATCCACAGAAGATCTGTGGTTAGTTCTCCAAAATGTTAGGAACAACCTACCTGCCAAGTTTCTTCAAAAACTGTGTGCAAGTGTACCTAGAAGAATTGATGTTTTGAAGGCAAAGGGCAGTCACACCGAATATTGATTTGATTTGGATTTCTCTTCTGTTCATTTACTTTCCATTTTGTTAATTGATAAAAATAAACTCTTAACACTTTTATTGCTGAAAGCATTCTTGCTTTACAGCATTTTTTCACGCCTGCCTAAAACGTTTGCACAGTACTGCATATACTTTGTTACTTGCACCTACCTTACTTAGCTTGTACTGCTCCCTCTGTGTCACTTCAATGTGCACATGCCTTCAGGGCCCCTTCAGCTTTCTACCCAAAGCCTGCACCACCCCAACAGCACTCACTGCTGCTGCCTTATGGTGACAAGGTCCCAGGTAATCATATAACCTACCCTGCTTCTGCAGTTGGTTTTGAGAGCACCCCCCTGAAGGAACCTGCAAACCTACATAATTACTGTATGTCAGATCATATGCACAGAGGAAATGGTCCAGTAGACCCTCCCAGATTCCAATCCACTAACAGCTCAGGGGCAATATGATAGGCTGTGGCGCATGTGCCCGCATAGCTAGCACGATCCTACTGACAGCAGGAATTGTTTAACCATGTTGCCATGACTCCTCTCTTTACGCCCATTTCCGCATGATGACATGTGTGGGGCGGAACTAGGGGCCTGGTTCATAGGATTATATGACAGACTTTGATTTGATCACAGCAGCTATACGGATGCATCAAGGAGACAGACCGTCATGATTGCAGTACACTATATGGTCATTGTGGTCATTATTTTTCTGTGTAAGCTGCTGTAGACATTATGCAGCATCATCAGGAGGGGGGCGGAAATACAACGTCAAATGACGTTTGAGTGGGAGGTACACACTCTGGTGAATTGTTGTGATTGGCTAATTGATTGATTGTTTCCCTCCATTTCTATGTATATATGTTTGCACTTTGTATTGGCGTTAACACTGTTGTTCGCCTGAAGAAGGGACTGCCTGGTTCCAAAGCGTCGCTTTGTGTATGTGACCTCATGTTCAGTCAATAAAAAAGATTGACTGCTATCTAGTAACGGAGTGTGAGTGACTATATGGTATTTTGCATTCGATGTGCGGCGGCGTTCTCTGTCACTTTCGGCACCCCCCAATTTTCGTTTGGGCTTTGTCCGGTCAGAGCTATTTCTCTGTCTACTCTCATCAATAAGGTAGCCTTCCTAATTGCCAACACCTCTGTGAGGCGAGTTTGAGTTAGTGGCCTTGTCTTGCAAAAAACCTTTTCTGATGCTACAGAAGATTACTTTGATGCCTAGGGCCTCTTTTCTTTTTAAGATTTCCTCCTTAACCAGGACATTGTACTTCCATCTTTCTGTCTTGTTCCAGTAAAACCCAAGGAAATTTGCATCCACTGCTTGTATGTAGTGCAAGCTTTTCATGTTTATCTCTCGACTTTTTTTCAGGCTAACGGGCTTTCTTTTCGTTATTCCTGAAGGTACAAGTAAGGGAGTACCTACCCCTTCTTACATTATTTCTAGGTGGCTTAGGCAGTTCATCATTCATGTCCATAGGCTTAGGGACCAAGGTTCTATCCTTTCCAGTCAAAGGACAGGTAAGAACATCAGTAAATGCCTCTTGGACTTCAGCATCAGGTATTTGTATCTCATATTTTCAAGCCTGCCGCCTGTTCTTCAGGTTCACACATTTGCTGAGTTTTACAAGGTCGATGTGCAGACCCTTCTCTGATGCCAGATTTGGACGTAAGGTAGCTCTGTGAGCTGCAACTAGCCTCAGCATTCAAGTAAACATACTTTTTGACTTATCATAATATCTTTTTATTGGAGTATATTAAAGAACAGAGGACCCACCCCTTGTGATCCACACCTACTACTGCTTTTACATGTTCAATTCTAATATTTATTTTTAATTTGAATAAAGATATTGCACAAAGAATTAAAAAATGTATGAAATAGTTTAGACAGGCCTGGATCTTTGGAAAGACCTTTTAGGCTTTCACATTAGGGCAACAAAGTGAAAGAAGGAGTGAGAGTATGCAATTCATATATTCTTTCCACATTTCTTTCTAGTGTAACCATAAAGCAGTGAGGAATTATATCCTTGGTTACAGAATACCTGTTTATAATTTCTTTTGCACAGAATGTACAAAGTTTGATGTTTTGGATGACTTGTATATTTTGTCGGGTAGTGCTTTGAGTTTTATTTTTTACTCATTGTTTCATTCTCTGCCTTGTGTTAACAGAGACATAGGAAAAGTTGTTTCTGGCTTTATTGACCTCCTCAACCCCTAAATTTTAGGCATCGGTATACTATGCTATAAAGGCTGTGCTATTTGGTAAGGCCTTCAAGTATATGTGTAGTTAAATCTTTTTTTGTTTTTTTATTGAGTTTTTGATATTTAAGTATTACGTTTATTTTTGCTTTGTCATGCTAGGGAGATTTCCTATTAGACACTATTAGATGTTTTTTGTTCAGCCTGTGGGATGAGCAAAAAAAAATCAGATTCTTCCATCCACACTAAAGTGCAAGGCCAGTCTAAAAGTGTTTGCCTTTACATGTATGTTGTTTCTCCATTGTATAGGAGGCTAAGAGATAGAGGAGCCTGCTTGGACAGATCATTTACAGGTGTTTGGAGTTACTTCTCATTTGAATAAATGCAAATTATTAATACTCCAATAAAACTGATTTTTTTTTTTCCATAAGCAGGACACTTTAAATTTGGTCTTTTTATTGCTCTTGCAAACTCTCTGCTTTTTTCAGTCCGCATATATACTAGCAAGATTATTGAGAACCAGGCACTTCAAGAAAAAGTCCCTGTTAATGTGCATTTAAGACACTCATTCCAATTTTTAACGTATCCATAGTCCATCCCCATCTATTTAGGGAAATCTACATTTTAGATACATTTAAAAACTTAAAACATGCTGTGTCACATTGTGTAAAGCAACATACACATTTATGAGCTACCCCTGTAAATGTTATGCTATGCTATGTTATGCTATTAGCATTGTTGACTAAGTACCTGGAATTAATTTGACATAAACTAGAGGATTCTCCTTTAAATAGAGACATATTTTAATGTATAGAAACAGACATAGGGAATTTCTAATTATAGACCACTCTTTTCCGAGTTATTTGTATTCTACACTGGTTCTATGTACCAGCTACTATATGCTCCAGCAAAGCTAAGCCAAAAATTGCAATGATTCTTCACATACAATTAAAACTATATTAGAACTGTAATTTCCTTTCCATCTGTGTTGCAATAAGGCTTATTTGAAGGCTGAAAGCAATTTACCTGTGTCATATAAAAGTGCAATTTTCTGCTGAAATTAGGGCAAGGGGAAAGTGTCCAGTGCAAGCTTGATCTGGCTGTGTTGCCCTCTCATTTGCAATGAAAAGCAGTTCTCCCTGTTGCCTTGAGTTATAAACATTATTTATTATCTACCATGTTTAGGTAGGGAAATGAGCATATATGCTTGAGTGCCTTGTGTTTCAAGGTCATCCAGCCTTTTGTGGTTTAAAATGATGAATTCATAAGCTGAGCTTGTGTTGTAAAATGACAATATTATTGGGCATGCCAGAATACATCATGCAGACATTTAATCAAAAGATGATTAAGTTATATTTCAATCTTTTCTCCTTCACATAGTTGTAGTTAAATTTTACCTCGTTACGTGCACAATATTTTCAAGTGAACAGGCATAAATATTGATGCTGTGAAATCTTTGACAGTGATACAATCCTGCTGCATCACCTAGTATTATAGAATTTTTAGAGACATTAATATTTGTTCTCTAATCTTGTTAGGGCTGTAATTGCCTGCTGTAAAAGAACAGAAGCTGATGTTTTGTGAACCCTTGAAGGTCAGGACAGTTCTAGACCATAAGGAAATTGTTAAACATTTGCTTCTCCTGTGTTGCCAGTTTTTGAGACACTCTGTCCATTTTCAGCATTATCTATTTGCTTATGACTTTTCCTTCTTGTAATACCACAAAGTTGCCTTCCTTCTCTAGCCTGCAGGTTTTACAGCACCCTTTAGATATTGTTACAGATTTCAAGGTGCCCTAGAGTATTGCAGGGTTAAACAGACATGGAGATATTTGTTGGTAACCTTACAGCTCATTGAAACAATGCTCCATTCCAGCTGAAAAGTGACAAAATTAAAAGCAAGTGTCTTATGTATACCTGCATGCCTTTGGTATGCCTTAGAGTAAAGCTAAGAAAGTGTAAAAATAGATAAATCATTTCTTATTGTGTAATGATACTCTAAAGTGGCCTGGACGTAGTTGTTGGTAGCCCTAGAACAGATTGTAAATAATTAGATCACAGTGATATTTTATTTAAAAGGAGAAAATTAGACAATCTGCTGTTTGGTATCATCACCACCACAATGAACATAGACCAGCAAAGCCAAGGAGAAAGCTGCCTGAGGTCTGAAAGAAGATTGTAGACCATCATGCCATTAATAAGAAGTGTAAAGTCCATGGGATTGCACCCTAAATTTGACTTCAAGAGGAAACTACCCCCGACTGAAGAGAAGGATAGTGCAAATGTAGTCAAAGGAACACTTCTAAAGAGATACAAACTGAACTCCAAGGTCAAGGTACATCAGTGTCTAATTGCACCATCCATCACTTTTTGAGCAACAGTAAGCTCAAGGGAAGACCTGGAATTTGCAAAATTGACAAGGCACAATGTTTGAGAGAATGTTCTTTGAACATATGAAGCAAAGCTGGAGCTTTCTGGGAAGTCACATCACCTCTATGAATGAAAAATAAAGGTGTTAAGGAAAAGAACACTGTACCTACTGTGGAACATGGAGGAGGCTTAGTTATATTTTGGGCCTGCCTTGCTGCATCTGGAATGGTGTGTCTTGAATCTGTGCAAACGTAGAGGAGATAGTCACCCGCGCACTAAGGTCCAATGCATCAATACGTCCTTTTATTGACGGCAGATACACATGGAATCACAAGTATGAGCATTGTTTTAGGACCTATCGAGGTCCCTTAATCAGGCAAGAAATATAGGCACTATGTTATTTGCCTGATGAAGGGACCTCGATAGGTTCTGAAACGTTGCTCATTTTTGTGATGCCATCTGTATCTGCTGTCAATAAAAGGACGTACTGATGCATTGGACCTTAGTGTGCGGCTCACTATCTCCTCTATGTTTGAATTTGTGCAGCGCCAACTCCACGTCATTCCAGCACCCTTCTACATACTACAGTGGATTCCAGTCTGGTGTGCAATGGTATATCTGTTTGTTTAATCTGTGCAAGGCACAATTAAATCTCAACACTATCAAGGCATTCTGGAAACCTACTGCCTAGTATAAGAAAGCTGCCTAGTGTCCCAATTGTAGGCCTTGGGTCCTCCAACAGGTTAATGACCTAAAACACACAGCTAAAAGCACCCATAAATGGTAAACGAAAAACATAATAATAAAACATTGGACTATTCTGAAGTGGTCTTCTATGAGTACTGATCTGAATCCTATTATACCTCTATGGAAAGAGCTGAAACATGCAGTATGGAGAAGGCACTCTTCATTCCTGAAACAGCAAGACCAGTTTGCTCAAGGATTGGCCAAACTACCTGTTGGCAGATGCAGAGGTCATTGAGAGCTACAGAAATTGCATGCTTGCAGTGATTGCTTCTAAAGGTAGTGCAACAAAATTTTGTGTTAAGGGTCCCATCATTTATGTCAATGCCAGCCATGCTGGATCATATTGATGAATAATAGGAAGCTGTGGGAGGTTGGAACTGGCTGAGCTTTACATACAAGTTCAGCTGCCTATATCTCTGGATCTACCAACTGTTTAGATATAGTTTTAGCTGAATGTAACATCTGCTTAAGTATTTGCTCATCATATGCTCAGTTTCTTTTATAATTATCATAAATTGGTAGGAACATTAAGTTAATCTCAGCCTTAATTTCTTTACAGAATAATGATGCTTTCAGTTCTTCGACATACAAAAACACCCATAAAGTTTTGGTTTTTGAAAAACTACCTTTCCCCACGGTTTACGGTAAGCTTTTTTTATTCTTACATTTAGGAATTTTGATTGTGCATTTAAATTAAAACCTACATTCATTTGACTGTATATTTAAAAAATGGCACAACTCATAGCTTCATGTTGTTTATTTTTCTTTCATTCAATTTATGTAAATCCTGTTTTTTTCCAACCTGTCCTTCAGTTGTTGAGAGGGTTGTTAAACTGTAGGTTTTGTTCTTTGTTGTACATTACATTTTTTCCTATAAAAGGATATTATGTTGCAGTAACATTTCCGTAAAAATCAGAACATGGCAATATGTAAACATATTGTAAAAATACAATTTAACACTTTCATGGAAATAAATAAATACAAATAAATAGTTCTGTTCCCTAAATATTTGTCAGCAAGTATAAATATATTATTGGTAGATTGCTAATAAATAGTTTGCCAAGTGCTATGTGTATTCTACCAGTAGTACCCTGTTTCCCCGAAAATAAGACCTACCCCGAAAATAAGACCTAGTACTATTTTTGGGAATTCCTCAAATATAAGACCTACCCCAAAAATAAGACCTAGTTGTGACCATTCTCACTTGAAGAGCTGCAGGAGAGAATCAGCAGTGCCAATGAAGCCAGCTCTAGAGGAAGCGAGGCCACAGTGGAGGGAGCAGAGCAGATGCCTCCTATATAGCGCCGGCTCCTGTCACAGGCGGAGTGATGCCAAATGCACTCCACCTGTGAGGAATCGATAGTGAAAGTGCGCTTCGCTCATTCTGGCCAATGATTGGTTAGCAAATTGCTCATGGAGAGGTACGGCACCCGATTGCCCTGATCACCATATTTCTGTAGACATGTAGACTTTTCTACATTAATAAGTGTGGATTGTTGTACATGAAAAAAAATAAAAATAAGACTCACCCCGAAAATAAGACCTAGTGTGCTTTTTTGAGCCAAAAAAAATATAAGACAGTGTCTTATTTTCGGGGAAACAGGGTATTTCTAAGACCTACTTTTACTTAGCGTCACATGCCTGTAAATCAAAACCACTTGATCCATAAATGATACAATGAAGCAGAAACCAAAGATATTGCATCACATTTTTATATCTCAGCCTGTTAACTGACTCTTAGACTGCCCAGAGCCTTTCCCATTCTCCCATTATGAGTCCTAAATCTCTGAGGATTCCTGATCTCCACTGTTTTGAGCTCATTCTCTTCCTCACAGAATGCATTGCTTAGCAGTTGTCAGATCAATACATGTATAACGCTAGCAAAGTCAGAAGACCGCCACCCAGAATAGTAATATGTACTGAATCTATGCAGAGCACAGTGTAAGCTGTCAACACCGTTTTCAGACTCCTTAGGGTTCTGTAGTGCCTATCCTCTTTTCTTTTGGGGACAATAATCACACGATCTAGAGCAATAATTCCAAAGTAATAATAAACCCTTTTTTAACTTCTGCTGGATGTAAGAAGATAGGAAAGAGGATAGAGTGAGAACTTTCTGGATTATAGTTGGGATCCTGGAGCCGGGAGATTTCTAAGAGAACTGGGAGGGAAGAAATCTCCATTCCTGGGTCGGGGCTTTAGTGGTGACCAGCACCAAATGATGGTGCTGGTCAGCCCTTATGAGCTGGACAGCCCTTATGAGAAGGATGCTGGGTCAGGTTCAAGGTTCCACCTGGGAGACAGAGAGGATCTCCGTGCGGGAGTCAGGAGGGCTCCACCCTGGAACCACTCTGTGTCTGGAGGAGTGTATCGCCTGTGTGGTGAAGAGACTAGCCTGTGTGGCAAAGAGGACAAGAGCCTGTGTAACAAGTGTTTTGGATACAAACTATGGGGTCTATTCACGAAGCTGCCGAAGCATCTGGCCATAGCTTCGGCCGATCCTTCGGCTAGCTTCACTTTGAATTCTATGGTTTTACGTATCGGGACATAATAAAAATCACCTGGTCCTTAGCAGGTCCTAAGATTAGGAAAATACAACCTCGGATGAACAATAACACATGAAATATTACACTGTGTCATTATTTATTTTGCAAACGTAAAGCCAAAATGAAGAAGCCGTATGTGAAAAACTAAGTACACCTTAGCTTTAGCAGAAATAACTAGAAGTAATCAATTCTTGTATGACTTTTTCATCTCTCATATCATTGTGGAAGAATTTTAGCCCACTCTTCTTTTTGACGTTGCTTCAGTTAATTGAGGTTTGCAGGCATTTGTTTGTGCACAGCTTTCGTAAGCTCTCACCACAGCATTTCAATCAGGTTGAGGTTTGGGCTTTGACTGGGCCATTGCAAAATCGTGGTTCTTTTCTTTTTTTAGCCAGTCTCTTGTAGATTTGCTGGTGTGCTTGGGATCCTTGTCCTGTTGCATGACCCGATACCAGACAACAGTGGAGTTCCTGGTGGACTCAATGACTGCAAGGTGCCCAGGTCCTGTGGCTGAAAAACAAGCCCCAATCATCACCCCTCCACCACCGTGCTTGACAGTTGGTATGAGGTGTTTGTGCTGATATGCTGTGTTTGTTTTTTGTCAAACATGGCGTTGTGCATTATGGCCAAACATCTCCACTTTGGTCTCATCTGTCCAAATTACATTGTCCCAGAAGCCTTGTGGTTTGTTCAGAAACAACTTTGCAAACCCAAATCTTGCTGCTATGTTCTTATTAGAAGCTTTCTCCTGGCAGCTCTTCCAAACAAACCAGACTTGTTCAGTCTTTTTCTAATTGTACTGTCATGAAGGTTAACATGTAACATGGTAACTGAGGCCTGTACAGTGAGATGTAACTCTTGGGTTTTTTGCAATTTCTCTGAGCATCCCACGGTCTGACCTTGGGGGGAATTTTCTGGGATGTCCACTCCTGGGAAGATTGGCAACTGCCTTGAATGTTTTCCATTTGAATCTTTCTTGTTGTTTGGAAATGAATGTATACCCCTTCCCAGATTGACGGGCAGCAACAATTGCTTTTCTAAGATAATTGCTGATATTTTATCTCCTTGGCATTGAGTTACCACACACCTCAATGCTCCAGACCAGCAAACTGCTAAAACGTCAGCTTTTATAGAGGTGGTCACACTTGCCGATTATAAATTAATCAAGGGTGTTTGATTAGCAGCACCTGGATACTACTTAGCATCTTAATTCCTATGGAAGCAGTAAGTGTGTACTTAGATATTTACACATAACTTCTCTATTTTGGCTTTATGTCTAGAGCTGCAACAGTTAATCGATTACGCCGATTAAAATCGACGATGGAAAACGTTGCCAACGTTTGCCATCGTCGATTAGTCGGACCTCCCCCCCCTACATGGTGCTGTATTAATGTATTGCTGGGGTAGTGGGATTTGTAGTCCATCAGCTATAGAGGACTACAAATCCCAGAAATATATTATACACTGTATGTATAATGTACTATTGCTGGCATTTGTTGTATTCTTATATAGCTGCTGGTATTCTGCATTGCGCTGTATAATCACTACACAGCGCAATGCAGAATACCGCCCGCAATATAGGAATACAACAAATGCCAGCAATAGTACATTATACAGCGCAACGCAGAACAACACCAGCTACAGAGGACTACAAATCCCAGCAATAATACATTCTAGTATAATGTACTATTGCTGCAATTTGCTGTATACCTCGATAGCTGCAGGTATTCTGCATTGCGCCGTATAATCATTATACAGCACACTGCAGAATACCACCAGCTAGAGGACTACAATTCCCAGCAATAATACATTATATACAGCGCAATGCAGAATAACACCAGCTACAGAGGACTACAAATCCCAGCAATAGAACATTATAGTATAATGGAATATTGCTGCCATATGCTGTATTCCTCGATAGCTGTTGGTAATCTGCATTGCGGCGCTGTATAATGTACTATATTGCACACCACACTTTTTTTTTATTTCCACCGCTCCAGGCTTGCTCCCGTGATGGACTACAATTTCACTACAAACTAGTAGTCCATCACTGAAACCATGTTTTAATCCAATTAACCGATTAATCGAACTTAATAATCGGCTAAGTAATCGATTATGAAAATAATGGTTAGCTGCAGCTGCCGCTTATTTATGTTTGTGAAAAAATAATGACATGGTGTAATATGTCATGTGTTGTTCATCTGAGGTTGTATTTACCTAATTTTAAAGTGACACAACCAAAGAGTTAAATCTTAAAAATGCATTCAAGTACCTTAACTATTATCTGAAATGTAGCTTCTTTGTACATCACTCAGCTGTAGATCCCCCAAATCATCTGAATGTGTGCCGACACTGTCTTTCTTCTGGAAGGTGGGTGTTTTTGTTTCCCATGGTCCCTGTGTTTGTGTGTCATCTCTAAAGTTGCGCAGACACTGTCCTCCCTTCTGGGGGGTGGCTACTTTTGTAGCCCATGGTCCCTGTATGTGTTGTAAAGTAGCCACCATTCCATGCTCGCTCCCGTGATGGACTACAATCTCACTTTTAGTTTTTTAATTTGTATTGAGATTGTAGTCCATCATGGGTGCAAGCACACAGGGACCATGGGGTGCAAAGGTAGCCACCCTCCAGAAGGGAGGACAGTGTCAGCGCAAATTTAGAGATGATTTGAAGATCTACAGACAAGTGATGCACAAATAAGTTACATTTTTGTTAATAGTTTAGGTACTTGAATGCATTTTTGAGATTTAAAAACCATAGAATTCAAAGAGGATGCACCTTCTTTTTTCACACAACTGTATATTGTCAAAGATCACAAAACAAGAGTGAGATTCCAGGCCCAAATATCCATATTTCTTTACAGACACTCATCTGATGATCGCAAAGCAGATTCTTCAACTCTGTATTACCCAGGACCCAGATCCAATTTTCACAAAGAAAGTCTCTTTTGCAACAACACATTCTTGGCACACCCACAGGATGATCGCATGTGAGGAGTACAGAAACCACATGTAACTTAATAATAAGGCCATACCCCACAGATATCTTCCGCTTATTCAACTAAGTATGATGTAACAAGCAATCCATACCAATAAAGTTAAATAAGCAGAAGATATTTTGTGACATGCCTTTTAGATGACTTCTGGCATTATACTGACTCAATAAGTTGTAAGTTGAATCTGTGTAGTTAGCTTCACAAAACTGCCTTATTATAGAACCTTTTTTTATATCTCTGTCCCTAGGAAACTATCCCTCACATGGCAAAAGTATATGGCTTCCAGTATGAATTGGTTCAGTACAAATGGCCAAGATGGCTGCACCAGCAGACTGAGAAACAACGGATAATTTGGGGTTACAAAATCCTCTTCTTGGATGTTCTTTTTCCACTTGCTGTTGACAAAATCATCTTTGTTGATGCTGACCAGGTAAAGCACAGCGTGCAAAATTAAGCGTGGCTTCCTAACAGAATCAGGTCACAACTAACAGGCTTTGGCCAAAGAGTAGTTAGTGTGAAAAACGATTTTATTCTCAACTCAGAATTCAAGCTTAGTTGCAAGCAGACTAAGATTGTGAATCCATCTCAGGTAATTATGTGAACATTCTTTCAGTCCCGCAGGGATTTTAGAAGCTCATTACCTTTTCTATCTGTTCTATACTGAATATCCATGCAAAAGGCTTTCATTTCTGTATTTTCCATCCCTCCTCTTTGTTCTTATAAGTTCAGGATGTTCAGTGTTTAAATGATCTGTGTCTTGCCTGTAGCTCCTAAGGAAAGAAATCTGAGCTTGCGTTTAATGAGAAAATCACAAGAACCAATGCTTCGCAGACCCTTACAAATCCAAGCTAGACCCTGGAGTCGAACAATGTTTAATCCGAATATTGACAGTTTGAATCCAAGCACATCATTAAATTGTGTGTTATTTGGAACTGTTACCTTAACCACTTCTGCCCTGGATTTCTTCATCAATTCACTGTATTTTCAGTCTAGATATTTTATACAGAAATTCATATTTGCTATTTCAACAGAGGTAACATAATCGAATATTCATAATAGGAGCAGGCAGCATCACACACACTGAAATGACTAATCGCTTCTTTTCTGGGTCCTCAGGTGGCTGAGTTGATGTGCTTCGGAATTTCATTTTTGACACTGGAAGGATACTGGAGGCTGAATGAGCCGCTAGTCATTAATAGTCTCCAACCTGCCAGTCTGCTGCATTGTTTAGCAGCAGGTAACGCAGATGAGACTGAGTTCAGTGCTGTTCTTAAGACACAAGATGTCAAAGCTGCCAGATCATCCTTATCTCTTATTTGTGGACTTGTCAAAGCAGATGACTGTATAAGTGTGTGCAGTTTATTTGTGTATGCAATTTTATAGATGAGGTGATGAGCAGTAAAAAATCTGGCTCATTTTTCTTCAGTATTTTTACCACTAGAATGTGCCCTGTTAACACTTGTGCACATTACTTTGCAGATTACTTGTGTACATCTCAAAAGAGCATTTTGATAATTTGGTCGGATTACAGTTATTGTCAAGGTATGCTACAGTGCCTGGTTCTCAGGACTCAGATTGATCCAATGCAAAATCCTCATATTCCAGTCAATCTATATGTGAGAATTGTTTCTAGTATATACTGGAAGAACAACAATCATGTGGGTGTGCATCTTGTTTAAATATTAAGGTGGTTCTTTCTCATAAAATATTTACTTTGTGCCCATCACACCTGTTAGACCCTTGCCATGCAACAGAGATATAGTTTGTCCAACTCCTGTTACTTCTGATCACTGGCGGAACTACCAGGGTCGCAGCGGTCGCAATTGCGAGGAAGAAGAGGGCCCCCCCTCCAGAGAGTTGCCGCTACATCCCTGCACAGCCACCCGTAGCATGTACGGGCAGCTGTGCGGCAGGGATGCATTGCCGTCCGCACGCACTCAGACCAGCACAGTTCCTTGCGGCCTCGGCTGCAAGGTACTGTGCCCGTCTGAGCTGCTTCTCTCCTATCTGCCTCTTAGCTCCAGAGTCTCAGAGAGAGCAGAGTGATCTCTCTGAGACTTCAGAGAGATTAGTCATTAATGGTCCATTTCGTCGGCATCTTAATGTAAAGAATCTAATACTTTAACACAGAAAAAAGTATTTCATATACTGAATGCTATCATAGTTACATCGTTAGTCAGGTTGAAAAAAGACACATGTCCATCGAGTTCAACCTATAGAGATATTAAAAAGAAGAAAAGCCTAAAAAGAACACTGTGCCCACAATTAACCACTGTTGATCCAGAGGAAGGCAAAAAAACCCTATAAAGCATGGTTCAATTTGCTCCAACAGGGGGAAAAATTCCTTCCTGATCCCATAAGGCAATCGGCTATTCCCTGGATCAACAATCTCTGGTGCTTAATATACAGTACCTATAAGAAGTCAATATCCAGTAATATTCTGTGCATTTAGGAATACATCCAGATTTATTTTTTAAACAGTTAACTGAGCTAGCTAGAACTAGCTCCCGGAGAGTCTATTCCACATTTTCACAGCTCTAACTGTGAAGAATCCTTTCCGTATGCAAAGGTTGAACCTCTTTTCCTCCAGACGCAAAGAGTGCCCCCTTGTCCTTTGCAGTGACCTTAAAGTGAATAATTTGGCATCAAGCTCACTATATGGACCATTTATGTATTTATACATAGTGGTCATGTCCCCCCTTAATCGCCTCTTCTCCACAGAGAACATATTCAGGTCAGTTAATCTTTCCTCATAGCTGAGCTCCGTCATGCCTCTTATGAGTTTAGTCGCCCTTCTCTGCACTTTCACCAGTTCCATAACATCCTTTTTTGTGAACTGGTGCCCAAAAACTGAACCCCAAAACCCAAAGCTGGACTATGCCTTTAATTTATTCAACTCTGAAGATGAGCTCTTGCGCTCAAACATTAACTTGAAAAACTGAAAATACACTCAACCTTTGCAGAAATATTTAATTGTAAATAGTTTATTGTAATAGTTAAATATACAGTATATCATAAAGCGTATTTCTTTATACAATTTAACATTCTTACAGATTTAAATATGGTTTTGTATTTATATTTGCTATGACATGCAGCTCATTTTATATAAAAGGAGACTTGGCACATGCCTATCACATGTAGTTCATTGGGGGAAATTTATCAGAACTTGAGCAGACAGAATTTAGAGCAGTTGCCCATAGTAACCAATCAACTTTTTTCTTCAGGTTGTTCAGGTAAGCTTTGAGAATGAAAGATAGAAGCTAATTGGTTGCCATGGACCCCTGCTCCAGATTCTGCCTGCTCCAGTTTTGATAAATTCGACTTATTGTGTCCACTGACACAATTACTATATTATATTTATGAAGGTATACATTTTTCTTTAAAGCCCTACTCCAGCCAAAACTTTTATTACTTAGGGTTGGTTAAACTTAGAAAGCATAGATGCTTCTACTTATAATTCATGTCCTTGTGACAGCCTATGGCAGGAGAACAAGAAATCAGAAGACCTGTTGTCACTGGGGCAGGAAGACGGATAGTAATTTTAACATGCAATGGTCCTTGTGTTGTTGCAGCCTGTCGCCCAACTTGAGAGATTTGCCATCACTTTCTGTTCCTATTTTAGTTGTTCAATATTCCAGGATGTTAAAATACAATTAGTGAGCTATGTCTGAACAGTTCAAGGGAAAGACATGTACTTTTGTACAAATATGTTTCTCTTTTGCTCTTTGAAGAACACAGATCTGCTTTAGGTCATCTCCTACTGGGTATAGTGCCACCTGCAGGAGTAGAATACTAGGTACAACTCAAAAAGCCTGGCCTGTGGTCATCCGTGGGTTTCTGTTACTAAAGTTGACTGACCAGATATCTAAGTAGATTCTTACAAGATCTGCCAATTATGAGGAACAACGTTTTGATATGATGCTGGATGAAATTATCAGGAACCTCGTCTGAAGAAAGTGTACTTTCTTGCCTCAGCTTGGGAAGACCAGGGATTCTTGTTGCAAATATGGGCCTTACTTTCCAGCCAGAAACTTTTTTTTTTTTTTATTTGTGAGGAAATTTGGACAATGTGCTGGCTGCACAGTGGTGGTATTTATAAATCATCGGGGGGGACAAAGAGTGCAGCAGTGGTGCTAGACTTGTCTTACATTGTGAGTTGTGCAGAGAGTCTGGGGCCATCTTTGTCTGCAATGCAGATACCAATAGTAGAAATTTGGCAATCTTAGTTGAAAAGGTTTGGATCGAGGAGAGTGGGACCTTCACCATGCGTGTGATGGGGAATACCAGAGTTCGATCTTCTGTTGTCCCCCTAAATAAAAAAATGTGGAAAGGTTTTTAGCAAGGGCAAATGACCCTTGGGCAGATGTGGTAGACTCATTGGTGACTCTGTGGGATCCATGCACTTTGATATAATATTATCCACCGGCAAAGCTTTTGCCAAGGCTTCTACACCGGATCGAGGTCAAAGGGATTCCAAAGGTCCTGGGGGCTCTGGATTGGCCCCATTTATGGTACGCAGATCTTGTTAGACTGGCAGTGGACTCCATGCGGCGTCAACCTCCTCGTGAAGACCTACTGTCTCTTAGCTATAACTAAGGCCCATTATATGTGCTGAAACACATTAGCATTTGTTTTCCTGCGTTTTTGCAAATAAAGTATCGAATGGACAGACCCCCTATGGAGTGCTGTTTTTTTACCTATTGTTGCGTGAAGGCTCTGGCAGAAGCTTTACCGGGCACCAAGGTTCCAGCGGCAGGATTGGAGACTAAGAGGGTAGAGCTGCTCCATGTTTCTCATTTGCTACTGTCTCAAGAGCCTGTTTACTATCCCATTTTACAGTGATAGAGGAGAGAAGACTATCGAATGCGGTCTTTTACACCGTGCTTAATGCTTGCAAGACCACATTGCCTAACAAATTATTAGCGTACTTGGAAGACGTATTTTGCATGATGTGAGTCCCTAGGGTTTTACCTTTGCCCGTCTCCTGGCTTTTCCCCTGCATGGGGTGGAGCAGCGGTGGGCCATTTTGATGTCAGCATTAGTGGTCTTACTTTAGTATCCTTTGGCATCACTGCCTCTTGTCAGCTTGAACCCTATTGAAAGTGTTACACACGTTACTCCTCTGGTCAGAACACCCTTGTTGCCGTCAGACCTTAACCTTGCATTGTTGGTGTTTCAAAAACCACCTTGCTAGCACTATGTCATAAAGTGGTGTTCCAAGCCATTCATTTGGCAAGTAGAGTCTTGGAGCTGGTGGTGTTGTCCTGCAAACCTCCATTTTTGGTCCTTCATAAGCATAAGGGTTTCCGGTGTTTAATACTTTTTTTTTCCTACCTAAGATGGTATTAGCTTTCCACATGAATGAAGACATTGTTCATCCATTGCTTTGTCCCAAGCCAGCCCACCACAAGAAGTTGCCTTACATGCTTCTGATGTTGGGACAATTAGAGTTTTTTTGAATGCCACGCTTGGTTTTTCGCAGGTCAGATTTCCTGTCCATGATTGTAGAGGGCCCATGTAAATGAATTGCAGTAAGAACTGACTGCTGCTATCTTATGCTGGGTCTGGCAAACTATTGTCCATGCCTATGCTGTCAAACACCAAGAAACGATGTTTCCAGTTAAAGTGCATTCTACAAGAAGGATAAGTGCACCCTACACTTTCTGACATCAAGCATCAATTTCTAAGATTTGTAAGGTAGCCACCTGGTTGTCAGCTCATGCGTTTATCAAGTATTACAAGGTGGATGTGGCAGAATAAGCTGATGCTTCTTTTGTGCATAGTTTGTGCAAGTTTTGCAGGCGGCAGTGTGACTGGCCTGTATCGTTTTCATTTTTTATTCTGCCCTGTTATGGCACTGCTTTGGGACATCCCAGTGTCTGTATCCTCCAATGAACGGAAGAGAATATAGGATTTTTTGTACTCGCCAAACAATTCTTTTCTCTGCATTTATTGGTGGACACTCCACCCGCCCCTCTGACTTTGTTGCTGCCAATGTCTTTAAATATAAAAAAAAATTGCACTGCAGCATCATTTAACTGAGTTTTTTTTCCCTCCAAAGTGGATTTTTTTTTATGCCCTTAGCAGGGACCACTCGTCTTTTGTTTTTTTAGTTGCGTCCTCCTGCATGTGGCACTATATCTGGTAGGTGATGATCTAAACAGAGCTGGGACTTTCAATGAACACAGAGAAAAGGATTTTAAGTTGCGTTTAAAAAAAAAAATCTTATTTTTTGCCTTTTAGATTGTACGGACTGATTTAAAAGCATTACGTGACCTAGACCTTGGTGGTGCTCCTTATGGATACACCCCATTTTGCGACAGTCGCAAAGAGATGGATGGTTATCGGTTTTGGAAATCTGGTTATTGGGCATCGCACCTTGGGCACAGGAAATACCACATAAGGTAGGAAAATGTGCATTGCTGTGATATTAGGATGCGTTATTGTAAAGTTTTATACTTGTTTACCAAGTTAAATGTTTATTATTATTATTAATGGGTTAGTGCATAAAAGATAACTATATAGATAGGTGCTAGAAACACCCACTGACATCTTACATTGCTCAGGGACACTAGTTTGATTTTTGTGTCAATTTGCCACAAAAGTTGTGCGATCCCATGGTGTGGAGAGCCAGTAATAGTGGTGAAACATCGGATTTGGGTGGACTGACCCGTTAAAGTCTTTTTGTATATGGTAGTACCACAAGAAGGAAGCTTACATATAAAATTATATGACAAAGTACATTCACTGTTCACATAGACTACTAACATATTAAGTCTTGATGGGCATTGAATTTTTATTATTTATGTGGTTTTTTTTATATATATATAAAAAACATTTCTAGAGTTTAAAGCCCAACTCTGGGAACAAGACAAAAAAAGCAGACTCCCTCCATTTGTAAAATTGCTCCCACAAAGCCTTCTCTCTGCCATTGGGCCCCTCTGCAAGTGTGTTTTTTTTTTTTTCTTGTGCCTGGAGTTGGAGTTTAATGTTGGATTTTATTCTCATTACAATTTGCACTCTTAATATAATTGCAAATGATTATTTTAAAGCCAAAAACTGTCTGTACATGCGCGTGTAGCCCTGCCCCTCACAGGTGTGATGACATCACACCTACTTTGTACTGAGACAAAACTGCAGGATCATCACACAAATGGAGAGAGAGGGACTGGCAGACCTCTGGGATAGATTCCCATTTGGGTAATGATCCTGCATTTTGTTGAAGACCAGCTTGTGTTACCTGTGAACCAGTGTAAAGCCTGAACATCCAGTACAGATCTGTTTCTATTACATCTATTTGTATGGTTTTGGAGGTTTTTTAAATGTGTGATAAAATGTATATTTTTATAATCAACACAATGTTGTGTCTAAATCTTTGTGGCACCTGAATAGTCTGTCTAGCTAACAAGGATAGATATGAACACAAAAAAGCGCCAAAAAGGACTACTCCGCCAGTATGGACCAATATAAGCACAAGTGTAATCAGAAACAAGTCTGTTAAAAATTATATAAATAATAAAAAGCACGTGTGTAGAAAGGTCTGCAGGATGCTGCCCCCAAACCAGCCAGGGAGACCGCAAAATCTAGGGAAAAAACACAAACAGGGGGCGCCTGACGTTGATGTGTTGCACATCAACGTCAGGGAATCACACAGTCTCCTCTGCTGACACATAGACACGATTGTGCAGCTTCCATAGACTTTCCATTGGGTCCATGGACTTACTTTTTATATCATTATCATGCTGAATTTTGTGAGTATGTTTTTTATCTACCTTTGATCCTGATCTTAATAAATTTGTCTGCACCAGGAAAGGCGCCCCCTGTTTGTGTTTTTAGCTAACAAGGATAGTTGAAATATGGTTCTTTAACCCTTAGGAGCCATTTAAATCCAATTGCACCTTCAAATCAACCTTCATTTCACCTTCCCAAATGACAGTGTATTTTGCTACATACCAAAGTTTCAACTAATGTTTTGAATGAATTTCACCAACATTTTGAGAAAGTGTAATCTCCCAAATTTACACATCCCAATTTATGAACCTTTCAGATTTGATTTTTAACATGGATACATGTTTGTTGAGGCATTTATTCTATAAAACTTACTGTGTTAATCTTTTAGGTGCTTGTAACAGTTTAGTGAATATATGAGTCATATCAGCTGGAAAAACTGCATCAAAATTGTATCCATCTCTCTCTCTCTTCCTCTCTTGCAGTGCCCTATATGTGGTGGACCTAAAAAAATTCAGGAAAATTGCTGCAGGGGACAGACTACGAGGGCAGTATCAGGCTCTTAGCCAAGATCCAAATAGTTTGTCTAATCTGGACCAGGTGAATATATTTTATCTGATCTAGTAGCATTTAATTCTTTACTTAGACTGCTTCTCGGTCATTTAAATGTCTTCATAGAGGCTGATATATTTATTTTCTGTTACATGCAACCATGTAGTAGGTATTAGAATGAAAATAATACTTTCCTGTTCATGACATTTTGTATATGTAGTTGTTTGAAAAATGATAATGAAGAGAGGTGAGTATGAAGACACTGTTTAAGTCCTTGAGAAGACTCTGGACCATGGGTAAATAACCTTGGTACTTGGTCAGGTTTACTTTGTGCCTATTAGAAGAACCGAAGTTTTGGGTGTATTTCACTCAATTAACTTTCTTGAGCTTATCCATACAATGCGTAGTCTTTTGCAATAATTATTTTGGGGTTAGGCAGCTGCATACGTTTGTCATTCCTACATATTCCTGTTAACTGTTACTTTACAGCCCCGAATCCCCATTCCAGTTATCTAAACTAATAGACAAAACTTTCAGACGTTCCTCTGCCAACTGTTCTGTAGAGCTGCAGCTAACGATTATTTTCATAATCGATTAGTTAGCCGATTATTAAGTTCGATCGGTTAATCGGATAAAAAATTAAATACATTTAAAAAAATGGCTCCAGTGATGGGACTACTAGTTTGTATTGAGATTGTAGTCCATCACAGGAGCAAGCTTGGCGCGGTGGAAGTAAAAAAGAAAAAAAAAAAGTGTGGTGTGCAATATAGTGAAATGGAAAGTGTAAAACCTCCTGCTGCTAGCACCTGAGCAGAGCTGTGGATGGTGAGACCCCTGCCCCAGAATAGGGATTTATGTCTTCAAAGGCCACTGATTCTGTCTAAATGTCATTCTTTAACTGAATGCCTGTGACCCTTCAGCACAGTTATGCTCAGGTGCAAGCAGGTGAGGGGAGCTTCAAGCTACTGGTAGAAAAGCATTAGACAGCTTTACCTATTAGATTATGGTGTGTTTTTAAAAAAATGTATGGCTAAAGCAAGGTTTGGTCCACTTTAATACTTTGCACCTGTGATTTAACTCATAGTTTTAATGATGACATCAGGAAAATTGGAATTCAGTACCAGATTGGACCTCCTGGGTCAGTGACTTCACAAGGTTCCTGTAGTATCCTGATATTAAAGCGACGCTAAACTCAGGAGTTAAATCTCAAAAATACATTCAAGTACCTAAATTATTAACAGAAATGTATCTTATTTGTGTATTACTCAGCTGTAGATCCTCAAATCATCTCTGCATTGATGCTGAAACTGTCCTTCCTTCTGGAGGATGGCTACTATGTCCCCCATGGTCCCTGTGTGTGTTGTAAAATAGCCCTCACTCCAAGCTCCCTCCTGTGATGGACTACAATCTCATGTTTAATTTACTAATTTCTATTGAAGTTATAGTCTATCAGGGCAGCCTGCCAGGAACGGTGGCTACTTTACAACAGGAGATATAAAAGTGGATATAATCACAATGTACACATATATTAAAGTAACTATAGTAACACTATTAAACTGTTAAGGTTCAAAAGTTAGGTTTCCTGAAGATGATGTACATCCATAGTTTGAGATTGGATAGTAGGAGGTTTAAACTTAAATTGTGTAAGGCGTTCTTTACTGTTAGAGCAGGGAAGGTGTGGCATTCCCTCCCTGTGTTAGCCGAGAGTGTTTATAAATTCATTCTGGGAAGCATGGATGACATGTAGATTTTTTGTGATAGGTGAGCTTACCCTTTAAGGACATACACAACTCTTAATGGTACACTGTTTTAATAAAATTCCTGCTCTATTTTCGGGCCATCTGCAGGCTGAAGGTTTATTTTGGGAAAGAAGACTCGAGTCTGCATGTGATCATTATGTCATAGCTGACATAGTAATTACATGATAAGGTTTTGGGAGCTGTCGGTGATGACCTAGATTAGCATACCCTCTGCAGGAGAACATTATTCTACAAATTGCAGGTGGGAAGGGGTTAGGTTTTATCTTAATTTTTTTTTTTTTTTAGTCATTTATGGCAAGAAAAACATATGTACTCAAACTAATGTAGTTTTATACGGCTTTTTTTTCAGAAGTAATCGAAGGCCAGGGTCACCATACAACATAATATATACTCACTGGCCGCTTTATTAGGTATGCCTCTTCAACTGCTTGTTAACACAAATATCTAATCAGCCAATCACATGCCAGTAACTCAATACATTTAGGCATGGTCAAGATGGTCTGCTGAAGTTCAAACCGAGCATCAGAATGGGGAAGAAAGGTGATTTAAGTGACTTTGAACATGGGCTGGTTTTAGTATTTCAGCAACTGCTGATCTACCGAGATTTTCATACACAACCATCTCCCGGGTTTATAGAGAATCATCTGGGGGGAAAAAATATCCAGTGAGCAAGAATTGGGCAAGAAAACCATGTTGATGTCAGAGGAGAATGACCAGACTGGTTCAAGCTGATAGAAAGGCAACAGTAACTCAAATAACCACTCGTTACATCCAAGGTATGCAGAAGAGCATCTCTGAACACACAACACGTTGAACCTTGAAGCAAATGGGCTACAGCCACAGAAGACCACAGAGTGCCACTTCTGTCAGCTAAGAACAGGAAACTGAGGCTACAGTTTGCAAGAGCTCACCAAAATTGTAAAATAGAAGATTGGAAAAACGTTGCCTGGTCTGATGAATCTCGATTTTCTGTTTCGGCATTCGGATAGTCGGGTCAGAATTTGATGTAAATAACATGAAAGCAGGGATCCATCTTGCCTTGTATCAACAAAGATGTGCAGCCGACAAATCTGCAGCAACTTTGTGATGCTATCATGTCAGTATGGACCAAACTCTCTAAGTAATGTTTCCATCATCTTGTTGAATCAATGCCACAAAGAATTAAGGCAGTTCTGAAGACAAAAGGGGTCCAACCCAGTACTAGCAAGGTGTACCTAATAAAGTGACCAGTGAGTGTATATAATAATCAGCTTTTTTAAAATGTTTATTTCTAAGGATGCTATCTTACAGGGATGTTTTAGGCCATTTGTTTGCTGTTGATCCTTTTTTTTACTTGGTGCTGCCATCCCCTATATAGCACATATGATGCAAGCAGCTCTTATCCAGAATATTGGAAGAGGGTGACTAATTGGCCTAAACTGTCTAACCCTTGATTTTCCTTTAAGACTGATTTTGTGCTAGGTGATTTTTGGAGACTTGGGCAACTCTGCACACAAAAATATATAGAAACATAGGATGCTTTAATTTTGCTCATTCATAGCATACGCAGCTGTCAAATGCATGCCAAGTGCATGACTTCCACTTCAGATCAAGTAAGTAATTGCCGCAGCCATTTTTTCTGTATTTAATGCTCCTACAAAATCCCTTTTGGTCAGTCAGGTAAATCTGAAGAAGTGGGAGTAACCAGGAGACAGCAAAATGAAGAATCATAAAACAAGCGATAAAATATAATCTAATACAGAGAGAATGAAAAGAATGCAAAATAAGTTACAAGCAAATTTAGAGCACTAAAGAAAGTTATACACTAATGAACGTGTTTTGCTCAAGTCTTTTTTTCTTGTTATATAAGCACATCCTGAACTGTTGACGACATCTCTGTGGTTACTAAAATTATCTTGTGAACAAAGTCTTTATCCCTCTCTTAAGCTAATTTGTTCAAACTGGAGAAGGTTAACATAAAAATGGTGGTGTTGCACATACCAACAATGTTATTTTCAATAAAGAAGTAAATCCTTATTGATTGCCACAGTCAAAAACTCTTTTTTTCTTCAGTTTTAATAAATCAGCCCTTTAAATGTTCACTGTCAGGAGTAATCTCTGTACAGGAAAATGAACTGGACTGGACTTACTGCTTTAGCTGAGCTTTCTTGTACTGGTGAAGTAAGCTCACATTAAAACAGAGTGTGACTTACTTATTCTCAAGCCACTTGGGCTGATGGAAGCTCCCAGAGACCTGTAACCTTTATGGGAAAACTTCACAAACTAAACACTAAAACTGAACTAAAAAGCTAAAATGTCTTGTAGTATTTATAGCTTATCCAGAAGAATACAATTTCTCGTTTTATTTTTTTTTTGTTGATAATTTTTCCTCACAGGATTTACCCAACAATATGATTCATCAAGTGTCCATAAAATCTCTTCCTCAAGAATGGCTTTGGTGTGAGACCTGGTGTGATGACAAGTCCAAGCAAAGAGCCAAAACCATCGATCTGGTAAGATGATGTAGCTGCGTAAATGTTCTGTGCTTCCATTTATCTAAAGCAGCCTCAACATTCTTACCTGGAGAAAACTTTTAAAATATGAGGCCTCAGGGAACTCCTGAAACAATTTTCTCTTTTCTTCATTGAGGGACACAGGATTTAGAGACATTTGGGTTACCCTGGAGGAAAATCTGAACACTAAGGCATGCTAGTAGTGGGAGGGGATACGCCAGGCTGATCACTGTTTTTTGCTTGCCAGTTTTTTTGCTTCTATCCTAGGAGAATGGGTGTCTTTTCTATTCTAAGAAGAGTTTAACCATTTTTACTAGCCTTTTTATTTAATCATGCTGCTACATGTAATTTCTACATGCTGCTTGAGTCCGTCTTATTATGCAGCTGTCAAGATCTGCACATCCTCAGAAACAACACTGGCTGTGTCTGGACCCTCCTGGACTAGACAATTGCAGGGCCTGCCTTGAATGTGACCTTAAAGCACTGAGCTCTGTATTTGGCACTTTCCAGACCTATGTGTACTCAATGAAGTTCAATAACAGGATTTTGCAGGGAGTACAAAAATCCTATTTTATGAGCTACAGCCTATAGGACATAAGTGTAATCAGTGAGTGATGGGTGTGCAGCAGGAGGAGGCACAAGCGGTGTTGCTGTGTGCACTTGGGAAGTGTGCAATGGTGATGTCAGGTGTCAGAATTTGAAGAATACCTTTTAGCTGATATCCATCCAGAGGTGCTTAGTGTTACAGGCTGCAGGGGAAACACAAGCCACAATTGGGCAGATATAAATCTGCTGCTGGCAAGGCAAGTGACAGAACACTATTATTATTATACATGATTTACAATATAAGGAAGACATTACAATCACAATACAATTCAAGACAAGATGGTAAGGAGGGCCTGCTCGTGAGGGCTTAGTTGAGAAACCCTGATCTAAAGTAACAACAATTTGTTATGCTTATAGTAACTGATTTAGGAATAACTAATATTCTTCCAGATCCTATAATGTGAGAATCTAATGCTTACAAATACTTGTATCTCTCCATTATCCTAAAACGTTTGATGTATGCAGACGTACATCAAAATACACCGTTAAAATGGCAAATATTTGTAATTTTGTTCAGCCAGTTTTGTGAGCCAGGTTCTAGTCCCCTCTGCAGTCTACACTGCAGGTAAGCAGTGCTACCTGATTTGAGATCTGCCCTGGCCTGCGATCGGACAATCAAGCAGTGGAAACATGTGGATGAGGTCATCCCTGTGCTGTCCCCTCTTTTTTAAGTATGCTCCCTGCAAAGCAAGAGATTGGCTCAGAATACTGATCCCTTGCTTAGCGTCTGTGTAAATGCACAGGAGAATGGTGCATAGTCATGCTGCTCATAAAATAAGCTTTGGCATATCCAGACTTCAAGTCCCCTTGCAGTTCATCAAACAACCAAGCTGACCTTTGCCGGGGCCAGCCTACACAGCAAAGTTTTCATATAAAAACAGGCTACAAACATAGGACATTGGTGGGCTTTAAATAGCTTTCAGGTAACAGATAAATGGCTAGGAATATAACCAGTTCCCAATCCTACTGTCTGAGGAACAAAACTGTCTGGGAGCATGAATCTCGGATCTGATACCGTGAATAGCACAGGCAGTTTCCACTCACTAGCTGGAAATAACTGAACTGTGTGAGCATCTGCTCTGACGCTTACCTTCTGTCTGCCCCGGGCTGTTGTCCACTTCCTTGCACCGTCTTGTAAAGCAAAGACTAGTGACTAGACACTTTATATGTGACTATGCTTTCATTTTTACTTTGCTAGATTTTATTCAACCTGTGCATTGAACTGTTCTTCCACTGGTATGCCGGTTATTCTGGGAAAATGGACTTGAAAATGGACTTGACCAGCTCTAGAATGAGCCATGACCTTATATTTGTAAAGTGTCTGAACAGGAACGGACTCTCAATTTCAATGCATACTACATCCCCCTATTATGGATGAATTTAGCTTAGCAGTACATTGTTTCAGGACATTTTGCTTTGTACAGTAAGCTAAATGTTCCATCTGGTTAACTGTATTCCAGAGCCCATATATCTTTCTGACGTTTTGCTTTCTTTACAGTGTTAGGAAAATTGGTTCCTTTTTGTTTTCAGTACTTAATCGAATGCGGCAGCTTCTTGTTCCACCTGTGCCTAAAGGGATCAAGTCTAATAAGCCATGGGAAAGATCTTATCCGTAGGCTTGGAATTCTCATTCTATATTGAATGTGTTGAAAAAGAATGAAGAGAAAATGTACAGCACACCGCCTGGGAGCATGTCTTATTCTGTAAATGCTCAATTTGTACAAGTCAATAAACTATTCTGTAATCTGTCAAGGGCTAGAAAGTAGAACTGCATTATTGCCTAGGGTGGTCATGGGGAAAAATATGACAGCTATTCAAACAGCATCTTAAAGATCTTGACAGCCCTTGGCGTAATATATTGATTTAAAGAGATATCTGCAATAATATAAGCAGTTGTATTACAATTGTAGTTTGTGGTGCTTTGAAGAGAAAGGGAATTTCACAGTGGAATTTCATAACATGTGCACTTTACATCTCCGTCTGTTATTTTTATCATCTTATTGGCTGTCAGATGCTCTTTCCCTAGTGTTCAGAAGAATCAATCGTAGGAAAGTGAAAAAGTCATATTAATTCTGTACATGTAAAACATTTACAGACTGATGTGTAAAAAGGATATATTGCAGCTAGATACAGTAGATTGCAGCCAAATTTAGGCACACGTTATCTAGTGCAGGTTAAAAAACATATAAGGGTGAAATCTGATTAATTTTTGTATTGTGTCTAGTTTTTGTTGAGATATTTTGAAGTTTATGTAAAGTCAAAACGTTTTCAAACTTATGGAAAGAATGTAGAAAAATGTGAACCTCTGTCAAGTTTTATTGTTGCCTGTTTCCCTCTCTGTTTGTCCTGTTGACCATTGGGTCATATACAGAAAAGGTTGGGAAGTCCAACAGGAGGTGGAGGGAAATTTTACAACAGGGAAACCTGTGGTGACAGCTGTGTACATGATGGTATCCCCGTCAACTTCCTGCTTTGTCTCTGGAACAGGAAGTGTAACAAAATCTCCCCAAATCTACACAGACAGCACTTCTACAGACGGCAAAATCTAAAACAAAATTAAAGTAACTGCCATTTCACATCTATGCAGAGGCGGCTCTTTAATTAGACAAATTAGGTGGTCACCTTAGGCCTCGCGCTCCCGAGGGCCTCGCGGCCGCCTAGTTTGCCCTGTCAGAACGGCAGCCCAGCCAGGAAGCTTTGTGAGCTCTCATCCCTGTAGCTGTCAAACTGAGACTCTCTCTCAGTTTGACAGGGCGGAGAGCTCATCCATTACCTCGATCGTTGGTGCGGACCATCGGCTCGCTCTTCTGCACAGAGCTCCGCCCACCAGCCAATGAGAAGAGACCTCACCCCTCCCATCCACCACACGAGGATCTCTGGCTGGGAGGGCGGAGTTTAACTGCAGAAGCTGATGGAGACGCCCGCAAGACACGGCCAGAACAGCACACACAGTACTGGAGTGGCAGCCTGGAGAGCCCTGTGGAGAGCCCTGGTTTAACCAGGGCTCTTTGGGATCTCGCCCTGATGAGACCCCACAGAACCCTGCTACCCTGGTGAGGCCCCCTCAGATCCCTGGTCTGTGGGGTCTCACCAGGGCCCTGAAGGGGTCTAACCAGGCCACAGAACCCTGCTACCCTGGTGAGGCCCCCTCAGAGCCCTGGTGAGACCCCACAGAATCCTGCTACCCTGGTGAGGCCCCCTCAGAGCCCTGGTGAGACCCCACACATCCCTGGTCTGTGAGGTCTCACCAGGGCCCTGAAGGGGTCTAACCAGGCTGGTGAGACCCCACAGAACCCTGCTACCCTGGTGAGGCCCCCTCAGAGCCCTGGTGAGACCCCACAGAACCCTGCTACCCTGGTGAGGACCCCTCAGAGCCCTGGTGAGACCCCACAGACCCCTGGTTTAACCGGGCCTGTGTGGGGTCTCACCAGGGCACTTTGGGGTCTCACCAGCCCTTGTTTAACCCCACAGAACCCTGGTGGGCTCTTTGGGATTTCACCAGGGCTCTGTTAGACCCCACAGAGCCCTGGCGAGACCCCACAGAGCCCTGATTTATTCAGGGCTCTGTGGGGTCTCACTAGGGCTCTGCGGGGTCTCACCAGCCTGGTTAAACCCCACAGAGCCCTGGTAAAACACCACAGGCCTGAGTGGGGCCTCATGTTTAGCTTTCGCCTAAGGCCTTGCAAACTCTAGAGCCGCCTCTGCATCTAAGGCAATAAGTCAATTCACCATTATTAGGGGAAAAGAAAAAGTACTTTTCTCCAGTCTTCAAAATTTACCTTTTGATATTTTATTTTGAAATAAGAACTGTCTACAATGCCTATTAGCAGCCCCTGTGATATTAGGGTGGTGGCTGTTTCCATCCAAAGCTGCTTAGGTTCATTCTGCATGAGATTATCAAATGAATGAATTTTTAAGTAGCTATAAAGGTATACTGAAATTTTAATGGGCACTTTTCTGCTGCTCTTGACAGCTATTATGAGGATCTGATTTTCCTTTAAAACTGTTTGTAAACTGGACCTTAAGTGTAAATCAATCATTTTTACCCACTTCTGCTCTGTAGAGATTGAGCCTATTCTGGTAACTTCCTTCGTCTGGAGTGTTAAGTCAGAAGGTCTACCTGCTGTACTGCCTCTCTTCCTAAGTGTTTAGTCAGAGGGTCTACCTGCTCTACTGCCTCCTTCCAGTGTGTTAGTCAGGGACGTCCCCAAGTGTGGTGTCACCCGGAACGATTGCCGGGCGACACCCTGCTAAGACATCATCACACATTCGTGTTTAATGATGTCGTGTGCACTTACCTGCCAGCAGCCATCTTGGTGATGGACACCAGCAAAGAGAGGAGAGGACGTTTACCCGGCGGGATAAGGTATGTCGCCGGGTCCCCTCTTCTCTCGTGCAACTATCGGGCTCTTGGTCCATGACCAAGTGCCCGACCTTTCAGAGGGGGTGACACCATCATGTTGGTGCTACCTGGTGCAGGCCGCACACCCCTTGTAATGCCACTGGTTAAAGTGACACTAAACTCAGTAGTTTAACCTTAAAAATGCATTCAAATACCCTAACTATTAACAAAAATGTGTCTCATTTGTGTATCACTCGGCTGTAAATCCTTAAACCATCTCTGAATTCATACTGAAACTGTCCTTACTTCTGGAGGGTGGCTACTTTTGTTCTCCATGGTCCCTGTGTGTTGAAGGACAGTGTCAGCATGAATTCAAATATATTTGAGGTGCTACAGCTGAGTGATGCACAAATAAGTTACCTTCTTGTTAATAGTTAAGGTACTTGAATCCATTTTTAAGATTTATCTCCTGAGTTTAGTGTCTTTATTTCAGATTACTACCCACTTCTGCTCTGTAGAGATTAAGCCTATTCTGGTAGCTTCCTTCATCTGAGTGTTAAGTGAGAAGGTCTACCTGCTCTGCTTCCTCCATCCTGAGTGTTAAGTCACAGGGTCTACCTGCTCTACTGACTGTTTTACAAGGGCTAACTAAGAGTGCCTTCCTATGCTAGTCACATGATGAATCCCAGTGTTGTAATAAAGATAAAAGATGCTGAAATATATGTAAGGTAATTACATGAGATTTCTGTGGATATCATTTTGCATAAAAGTAAATTACAAAATAGCTTGTATGACAATTGTATTTATATTCTTTTAATAAGGGAAAACATTTATCTTTTTAGTAGCACTAAAATTCCTGCTGTAAAACAATGTACAGTATGTTCCACCTATCTTATAAAGCATTCTCATTCTCTGAGGATTGTTTGGAGGGGAAAAGGTATGTGACCAGCAGTCCTCACAGAAGGATTTAGGTTGTATCTAAACAGCTCTACCATTAGGAAAATCAGAAGAGGCTTTGTTCAGGCACAAGTTCTTTGTAACAATATTTTTATTTCCTTTTGTTGGCGAACGGCGGCGTAGGTTGAAACCTGTTAGAATTTATTTTTTTACCTAATGGGTGCCCATGCGTAATCAAAGTCAAATGTCACTACATTGCAGCTATGGCAAGAATGCATTCAGGAATCTTATTTTCTGTTCACAGTGTAATAATCCCAGAACAAAAGAACCGAAACTAAAAGCTGCTGCACGTATAGTACCTGAGTGGAAAGACTATGACAATGAAATCAGACAACTTCTGAAAAGAATAGACGAGCAGAAAAAGAACATCACACAGGCCTCTGCCAGTGGTAAGAACATGAATTAGAGTCATATTATCTATTCCTTACTGATGCACATTCATTTTCTCATCAGCCCTTTTAAAGAAACAAAGCATTACAAAGCACTGCACATGAGTCAAGAATGTTGGTTGGTTATATTGTAACAGACAGACTCCACAGAAAATACATTTTAAAAGATTAAAGTAATAAATACCTTTTTCATTTTCTATCTCAAGTTTTTAAAGATGCAAGCTTAGATTTCACGTTAGATTTCTTTGCCTGATGAAGAAAAAATGACATGTTAGCCAATAAAGGGTATTACTTAAATTATAAATGTTCTGCTTTGTTTGATGACAGTACAATACTCTGCTAATAATATAATCTCAATAATGCTATTATAACTCTACATCTATAGGTTTCTCATATTCAATATCAATCATTAAAGCAGAGGTATGGGCCAAACAAAACATTGAACTTCAATATCCCATGCCAGCTCTAAGACTGAGAGCTGAGCAGTCATGTGACCACTGATCAGTCAGCTCTCAGTCTCTGCTACCAGGCACGTTCAGTCACTGCTCCTTCAGGGTTTCCCCCCTCCCCTTTAGTGTTACTTTGGTGCTGGCTGAAGCTAAGGGCTAGAGAGGGGGTGAGCACAGCTGGCTCTGGCTCTAGAGAGGCAGCTGTCAATCGGGCAGCAAGGCTTTGCACTGTCAGCATATAGAGAAGTATATATATATATATTTTTTAAAGGTTTGGCTTTCCTTTTTTAAGGTAGCTTATATTTCCCACAATAAAGGTCTGAACAAGTTAGGTACATGAAGGTTATCTGGAATGTGGGTGAATACAGGGCAGAGCAATATATATGATCTAAACCATTGGTCAAATTGCATTTCCATACCTCTGCAAGCCTCAGGGCTTGTCTACCTTAAAACAAATTGTGACGTTTGCAAGGAAGTGTGTGCTCTGGCATTATGTTCTTTGACATATTCCCAGATGTCCCCTGCAGGATAATAATTTGACCTGTGATTTATGTTCTTCTAAAGCTACAGGGGACAAGCATCTGAATGTGCTGCATCTGTCATAATGAGGTGGCAACAGTCTTTAATATTGCAGCATCTTCTGACAGCTTCCTGTACTATGACAGCAGTCTAGCTGCTTCTTGTAATATTGCTGTTGATCAGGTTTTTGTAATATACATATTTGTCTAATATAAAAGCTTCCTATACTGCCCAATAGTGTCTTTTAATATGTCAGATTGTAGTATGGCTTGGGGGTAAAAACTTTGCAGATTAGGACATGTCTACTGAAGCTTACTGGGTCTACTGAAGCATACTGGCACAAGTTTATACTTGACAAGAGCTGATTTGTATAACTTCAGCAGGTGTATGTCGCCATTCTACAAAATAGTAGCTTCAGCCTTCACTAAGTATATTAGAACAGTCTTGGAGTTGGAACCATCAGCTATGTTTTACGTCACAGGTTAATTCAAAAGTGACAGAATGTAGTGTGATAGGTACTGAAAGTAGTTGAAGTGTACATTATACCAAAACATTTTTTTTTAGATAGGAGTTTGGTTTCTGTTTGCTTTCTGTGCCCTCTCAGGGAGATTTCCCCTCACTTGCTGTCCTGGAGACACCACAAGAAATGGGAGGGAAGATCTCCAAAGTGAGTGCCCTCACCAGAACAAGTGCCCCTATTGAAAGCCTTTCCCTCTACTCATGTATCAGTGAGAATTTTAAAGGGGGATTTCTCATCACTTTCTGTCCATGTGTCAATAGGCATCAGGATAAACAGAGAAGGAACACTTGACAGAGGTTCTTACTTTTCCCCACTCTACCCCAAACTAAAAAAAAAAAAGCTTTGGCTTTAGATAAATGTAGCTGCCTGGGACCTGCGCCAAGCCCATCAGAGACTTGGAGAGGCACACTGCAGAGAGAAGAAACTCTCCCCAGCATAGGGGGAGTGGCTGCCATTTTGGTGGAGACTACAAGAAAGGTAGACTGAGATTAGCTGCCTTCTGAGGCCAGATTTGTAACCTCACCCAGGAAGGAAGGAAGGCCATGCCTCTGAGGAAGGAGAGGGATATAAGGCTGCTGTTGTAGCATGTGCTGAGGCAGCAGACTTTGTTGTGGGCTATAATGAGCCAGGACAGAGAGATCAGGCTCCTGAGAGAGAGGAAAGCCAGAGACTATTCTGTGAGCTTTGCTGTTCGGCTGAGCAGGGGCCCAGAGAGGAGCAAGCTACAGTGAATGTGCGGAACAGAGCTGTAGAGACTCCAAGCCTGTGAGTACTGTTATAGACAGAGCACAGAGAGGAGGAGTACCATAAGGGTTGCTGTTAAACTGTGCTGTCCAGAGACTTCTGTGTTGTGCTGTACAGAGAGGGAGAGACTGGTCCAGCTGGTCCTCTGTCAAGCTACAGAATGGATTGAGAGCTCCCGAGAGAGAGAGAGAGGGGCAGAGAGAGAAGGCAGCAGATCTCGCTAATGAATGTTTGTGTGGTGTGACCCCTCACCTGGCCTTCGGGTGATGGACCTTAATCAGCATTAGTGGTGAGTGGGTGTAAGTGTGTCTTCTGTCTTTGTTGCCTAAAGACTTTGGTGCCACGCTGACAGAATGCTCAGGATCTTTGGAGCATCTCCTTGCCTTTGGATTATAAATATTCCAACAGGAGTCCACGAGACTCAATGCTGGCAGATTGTGCTCAGACTCTACTGGCCCCAATGCCAGCAGACTGTGGTTGGACTCCCCTGGCCCAAATGCCGGCAGAATGTGCTTAGACTCCACTGGCCCTAATGCCAACCGACTGCGCTTAGGCTTCACTAGCCCCAGGCATAGTTGGGGCCTTTGAATTTAAGATAGGCCATATATTTTACCTTTTTCTGTACCCAGTTATTTCCAAATTTGTTTAGTGTATTGAGTTATTAAAGTTTGTTTATACCATCTTGCCTTATAAAACGTTTTTCTACAGGGCTTTACACTGCCTTTAAAGGAGAACTATGGGGTTAAGGCTTTTCCCCATAGTTCTCCTTAGGGGAACGGGAGGACACAAACTAGCGTCCTCCCGTCACCCTAGGCTCAGTATACCACGAGCTGTAGCTCGCGGTATACTGAGACGCCACAGTATACCGCGAGCTGCTGCTCGCGGTATACTGAGATGATGCAGCTGAAGCGGATCCCGACAATTTGTGCCAGGATCTGCCCAGCTGCGTGACTGACAGCTGGCTCTGCCTTTCTAGAGACAGTCAGCTGTACCCGCCCCCTCCCCGTCCGTTCCTCCAGTCAGCGCTGGCGGATCGGAGCGGGGGGGATCCAGCCCCTCCCCTGTCACAGCAGAGAGCCGTGACAGGATCGAGAGGTGAGCGAACGCCGGTATGTGTTCGCTCACCTCCCGATCTACTGAGCCGACCTGTGACAGTCTCATTGTCACAGGTCGGCTAGAACTATGAGGTGAGTGAAAAGCACTCACCTCATAGTTCTCCTTTTAATAAAGCCAACTTTACACTACTGGTGTGTTGGGGAGTCTGGGTTCATTTCAGGGCGGGTCACCATTGGGGGCGGAAGGAAGGTTGCAACATCTCAGCAGCTCCCTGGGGAATCCGTGCCATGTATATCTTAATCATGTGAAGTGATAGTGATATTTTTTATTAGCTACCTGATATGATTCATTGCAAGCTTTTGGAGTCTGGTTGAATCTCCTAACAGAGTAATTAAGACAGTTTAGAGAAAATTTGTTGTGTATGAAGGTATTTGCTGAACACATAACCTGTCATAAACTGAGATGAGAAAAACATGGTACAATACGCTTATCCCTTATGGTTTTTATGCCATCCATTTATAGAAACAATAGTTCCTTCTACTGTCCTACTTTGCTATTAATCTGTCAAACGTTTGTTATTTCTTTTATTTGGTTAAGTTGTTCCAGTTCATTAAAACATGAAATCCCACGAATGCAGAAGCCACTTAAAGTGAACACTTTAGCCCCATGTTTTCCCGTGCCACTTGAGTGTCAGTTGGTCTGTGCACATTGCTATTTCTGCCAGAGGATAATAGTCTGAAATCTAAAGGTTTTCTGAACTGTAATATGTCATTACTCAGGTTTAATGAATAGAACCCACGATGGGTTCTTCACACCTGAATGTGAGCAATACAAACACTGTGCCCACATCTTGTGAATGTTTACATGCACAGTAGGAATATACTGCTTTCTTACCACATAGCGATGCGAATGACGCTCTTATCTGTTTATACTGCACCGGTGTGTCATAACACAGCATGCTGGTGAAATCAGCTGAAATAGATCAAACTGCATTGTCTGGCGTTCATGATTGTCTTCTGTGTTTCCTTTATTCCAGGAGATTTGAAACATGATGAACTTTAGAAATCACAGTGATGTGAAAGAAATTGCTTTTGACTAGAGAAAAAGAAGAGGATGACACTTGAAACAATTGTGACTTTTTTTTTTATGTACATAAAAACAACATACCGAAGTCCTTATTGAAGTGGTGCACTGCTAAAAAGTTTCCTGCTGTTTTTTTTTTTCTTTTTTTTTTTTCTAATAAGCATTTAGGATTTGAATGTGTTGTAATGGAGATTATAATATGCCGTGATGTCCCAGGCACATTCCTGCTATAACCTTGTATGTTTTGTAATGCTCTATACAGATCAGCTTGGGTTTGGTCCTAACCACAGCTCATCTGAAACCGGAAGTTAGGTGTCAAGGCGCGCCCAATCAGCTGTGGCCAGGGCACTCCTCGCCCCACAGCCGCATGTGATCAAAAGGGCAGGATGCTGGTGACATTATTGACCTTACATGGCCACACAGCCAATGGCATTGACCGAATATGACAATGTGGCCATACAAGGTCAATGATGTCACCAACAACCCTTCCCTTTTGCTATGTGTGGCTGTGGCACAGCTGATTGGTCACGCCTTGACACCTAACTTCCGGTTTCAGATGAGCTTGGGTTTGGATCAAAAACCAAGCCCATCCCTAATCTTCTGTACTAGACCACACAAAGGTGTTTCCTTTTATTCTGTGCACATGAGTAACTAACCTTTACGACCTGGCTGGATCGCTTCCTTTGTAAGTCCAGTGCAACATTTTGGGGCATCTTTGCCCTGTTATTCCAACCAAGCAGTAGTGTGGAATATTGCTATTCAGCTGAATCCACCACAATGCTTATGATGGCTTCACCTAATATAATCACCTTTGGTTTAGTTAAACGGCAATAACACACATCAGCTGAAGGTTTAGTGCCTCTCTTCACCGTGTACAGAAATATAACCATTTTGTGAATATTGCTAAAATCTGTTCCTTTTTATGTGTTACTATTCTTGGGCAGCTGTGCTCCCAGCTACATGTATACTTCAAGGGACTGTTCATTTCATCTCAGGTTAGGTACACTGCCCTTCTACAGTCTTTATACTGTAAATCTAGTTTTGTAGAGATGTACTATATTCACATTGACCTTTTCTGCATTTTTTTCTACTTTGAAGGACAAAAGAGTACACGCTTATTTTATTTAGCTTTTTTTTTTTTTTTTTCAAAATGTTTAATTGCTCCCATCACAAGTTTAGGAGGCATATTTTGTTACACATTATATATACATAAAATGCAATCTTTCTTTTTTTATGGTACGGTACAAGGATTTGATTTGCATGTTTGCCATGTGTGTATATACTGTGGGCATTTGTGCGTTGGTGTATAATTAATATGTGTGTGTGTATCCGCTAACGTAAATGCATTTCAAACTGGTAAAAGGAGTTATGCACCCACAAGTTCTCCCCTTCACAGGAATATGTTTTTCTCCCGTGCAATAGAAGAAAGATGGCAGTGCATTAGAGTCACTGACCTCCAGAGAGGAACACCAGGGAAATGGAACAAAGTAACATGGAAGTCAAACAGAACATGTTCTATTTTTCAGCTGCCTTGTTACTCCTTTTCCTTGATAACCCTCCTAGGAGGCAATGAGTCCTGAGGTGCTGATGTTTTCATGCAGAGGCCAAGGAATGATCTTTTTGAGATGAAAGCTTTCTAGTGGTTACGGCTGGGAGATATATCACCCTGGGTCCAGTGGCAGATTCTGCTTTTATACCTTTTCAGCACAGTGTTTTCCTTGTAGCAAAAACAAAGCATTTAATATCTGAGAGGACATTTATGTGTTAGGAATTCTAAAGAACTGACATTAATCATTTTATTATATTGTAGCTATTTAAGTTATTCTTCATCTGGACCTGAATTCATACCAGAAAAGTCACACGTTGTGCAAATAGATTTTTCAGTTGTATTGTGATGTAATCATGTGTCACTTTTAGGCAGTTTTACTAAATATGGACATGTACACACACTTTAACCCCTTCCCCCCCCCCCCCCCCGATAAAAAAACCACACATATTTTGTCTAGCAAGTTTAGTGACATCATCTCTTCTAGAGCAATGTAGGGGTGCGTTATACAGAATTTGTCCAGTTTACATCATGATCGTGTCATGGTAGTGATGGTGGATATTCCATAATGGCAAATAGACAGATCGTTTCAGAGTCCAATTGCAACAGAGTGCCATCTTTTAGGCCCCATTCACACCAGGTGCGGACCGATTTTTAAAAAGGTGGTTTTGGTTTGGGCCGTTTTGAATTGCGTTTCAGAGCTGAAATGCAATGGAAAACTGCCAAAACCGCGTTCTATTGAATGCTGTATGGAAACCATGCTGATCAGCGCTAAAAAAAAAAAAAGCTCAGGGAACAGGTGGGAGGCGGTTTGGATCGTGCAGACACGCACGCATGAGTGGTCCCCATGGCAATGTATGGGATTGTTTATGTTGGCAGAACTGCCCCGGTGTGACTGGGGGCCTTAGACGTTGATCTCCATGAGTCAAGAAGCAGTTAGATATTCCTGTAAATAGAGATTTTCTTTAAGGAACAACCTGAAAAGAAATTTGGATCTTTACTGTTGGATTCACAGGACTGGAATTAGCTGGACATGGTACTTGCAGAAATGTAGATAAGCCATCATTGTAGAATGGTAAAAGCCAGGTGTGAAATGAAGAGTATATGTCTGCATATCTGTAATAGGCACATGGTATGCTATGAGAATAGATCTCCTTAAATGTTCCTCCAGTCAAACTTGATATGGAAACATGCTGAACTCCCTTTACTGGTTTACATGTGGCTTCAAAATATATGTATATATTTATGGCATCTGCACACTCTTTCCTAATGAGCATCCTGGACACACTTGTATAAAGAAAGCAACCAACTCTTATGGTTGCCAGTGCTGACCCTGCCACTCTTGGGCTTCAGTGCTGGATAGTGGATTGTGCCGGAGCCAATGACCACTGGAGCTGCTCTGTATTTTTTATATTAAAGCACTGCAGTATGCTAGGCTTCAGGAGTATGGGGAATCTGAAAAGGTGTACAAGCACCCGGAGGGGCATTTTTGTGGCTGATTCTCAGTCTATAGAACTGCCAGGGGATATACAAATATTAAAGTGACGCTAAACTCAGGAGTTAAATCCTAAAAATGCATTCAAGTACCTTAACTATTAACAGAAATTCAGCTTATTTGTGTATCACTCGGCTGTAGATCCTCAAATCATCTCTAATAAGCACAGGAGTGAGCTTGGAGCGGTGACTACTTTACAACGGAACAAAAGTTGCCACCCTCCAGAAGGAAGGACAGTGTCAGCACCAATTCAGAGATGATATGAAGATCTACAGCCGAATGATACACAAATAAGATACATTGTTGTTAATAGTTAATGTACAGGTGAAACTTGAATAATTAGAATATCGTGCAAAGTTCATTTATTTCACTAATGCAACTTAAAAGGTGAAACTAATATATGAGATAGACTCATTACATGCAAAGCAAGATAATTCAAGCCGTGATTTGTCATAATTGTGATGATTATGGCTTACAGCTCATGAAAACCCCAAGAACCCCAAATCCACAACCTCAAAAAAGTAGATTATTACATGCAATCAATAAAACAAGGATTGTACATAGAACAATATCGGACCTCTGAAAAGTACAAGCATGCATATGTACTCAGTACTTGGTTTGGGCCCCTTTTGCAGCACTTACTGCAATTACTTTTGCACGATATTCTAATTATTCGAGTTTCACCTGTACTTGAATGCAACTGAAAAGCCATTGTTTCCAAATAAGCGGATATTCTGGCTATACCAAATTCCTAGCCTATAATTCTACATTCCTAACTGCGCCTATTAGTGGGGTCACCAAATTATTTTACAGGTTGTCCATTTTGATAAGACAATCTATCGTGCAATACTGACAATGATCACTAAGACATAAAGTGAAGGGAAATACAGGACAGCATTACAAACCCAACAGAGATTCTAACTCTTTCCTATGGTATCCAAAACTAGAGAAAAATCTTTTGGGGTGGAGTTCCACTTCCTAGAAAATGTCAGTGGAATATTACGATTAGCAATTTGCAAGCTACCTGGCTGCCATTTTGACTTTTTCTTAACGTGACTTTGCCACAAAAAGTAAAAACCTGAAAATGGAACATAATCCCGGTCTCTGTCGCCATCACTTCTATCGTCACTCTCCTGCAGAGCTACACCCGCTGGAAGGTTCTTGTGCATCTGCCACTTCCTGGTATACTGATCATTGTAGTTCCATCTACTGAACACTGTCACTATATAGAGACTGCATTCCATACAACAATAATCTATTTGATGGACATTTCATAGTGAGAACTGCTCAGAAGGATACAATAGTCAGTTTCTGTTTAGTAGATGAAAAAAAAACCCACAAACTTCTCTACCTCCGGACCGAGGAACAGAAACATGACACATGAATGCCTTCCTAAAGCCCAGTCTCAAAATATCTTCAGTTCTGCCTAAATATTGACAGAGCCCTGCGCATATCTGTGCCATCTGCAACCTCGTCCTCATTTATCAGCAGCCTGCCCGTAATTAGAATTTCTCTTTAATATAATTACTTGGTGATCAAACTGTGAGCCAGTTATGATTAGCTCGGCACATTTCCCCCAGATTTCAGGTGAAAAAAGCCAACCGCATTGCAAGCTATTTGTGAAGTGACAAATGATTAGGCCTAATTGTGGCTGATGAGACATTGATTACTTTAATTGGGAAACTCAACTTCTGCTCCAGTGTCATGTTTGGGCAACATTTTCAAAGGACTGAGCACCATCACTCTTCACAGTGTGAAACGCTTCAACAGGAGTGTCAGAAATCCAACATGTCGTTCCTGTTTTCTAATGATTTCACTTTCTGCAGCTTGTATTCACTTCTGCAGTAAAATATGTCTGGGGAAAAGAAAAAAAAATATGTAATATATGCACATTTCCCTTTTTTCCATGTTTTTATCTCTTTAAAAGCACTGCAAGTACTGCACAAATAGCTGTTGACTCTTCCAGACATCCAGTGAGCATGTAAACTGCCTGTGCTGCACTGAAATCCTAAGCAGTATTTTCACCCT